GCCACAAATGTCAGGTTCTTCAGAACAACACCACATCCATTGGTAGCAGTGCTGCTCAAGGCTAGAAATAAGTACCAAGAAAGCCCTTTATCACACTTGCCAAAAAAAAAAAAGAGTGCATTGGGATAGCCATACACAATGACTAAGATCCAGCCTACAGAACTCTAACCACACCTACAAGAGGCTCAGAAGGGCTACAAGCTCTGCACCCAGGACAGCATGTCCAAATATTTTGTAGTCTGAAAGCTCCTCCTAGCTGTGAGACCATCTGACATTGTTCAGCTCGGAAGTTATTTGTTATAATACCACCAACTTTAGAGTTACTTTTTCCACTGGCTTAAGTACATCACCATCCTATATAAGAGCATCAAGGCCTTTTGCGGAACAAAAGCCTCCTCAGGCTTTCTCAGGATCATATTCTTACTGCTCCTTTAGAGTTGGCCAAATCAAAGGCACAGCTCCAGACACCCCATCCTGTTACAGACTAGCTTTGCTCAATGTGTTGTAACCAGAGACTGAAAAAAACCTTTGTTCACTGATTATTTTGGTTTTTCACATCCTCAAAAGTGCCTGTAAGGAGCACACTTATACCTTTGGGATGAGTCAGTGAACACAGATTCCTGATTCCTTTCTTTTTCAGGCTCTGCCACAGACTCATACTGAGACTTTTGGAAATACATGTCATGTGCTTCAGCCTACTGTATATAAAATTATAAGACACAAATGCAAAGCACAATGAGCTCCCTGACAGAAAGCTGACAAATTATTCATTTACTTATTATTCACGTACTTCACTGTTTATTTTTAGATAAATTGCTCATTTCACTGTCACACATGCACAAAAAAGTCTACATACCAGTGAACGCTAGAAAGCTAAATAAGTCACAATACAGGAATTAAACAGGTTCATTTGTCACACACAACCACAGAATTGTGTCTTATTTGACTACAAGACCTTTGTAACCGTGATAAGATGTACATGTAAGAGTAAATAAGAGGAGCCAAAGAGTGACAAAAATCCCAAGGAAATATTTATTCACGTAGAACTCCCCTGTTACCAAGGAAAAGACAAATAGACTCTAATGAACCTAACTGTAGCCTCGAGATGCAGATTAATTTACCTTCAACGCTCTGCAATTGCAACCTGAGTTTTCCCAGGAGCAACCGAAAGAAACTTCTTTTGGAATGCCAACTCAAGCACGTTGGTAACCAACCGCGCAGGACACCCTGGAATGCGGCAGCGGCGCCAGCCAGAGGAGCGCCTGGCGTTACAAAGCGCTCCCGGCAGAGGGCACACGGTCCCCATCCCGCTCGCTGCCCTGGGAAGCAGCGCTCCTCCTAACCCCTGGGAAACTGGAATTGGAAAGCTGAACTCTCCTTTGGCTGCAGCAGAAAATCTGGGAGCGGTGGGCGCTTTCAAAGGGCTGTGCATAAGTTGTTTAAATTTCTATAGAGTTCTGAGTTTGAACATTCATTTCTGTTAACAAAGAAAAAAAAAAGGAAAGAAAAAAAAAAGGACAGTGCTCAAAAAATAAAAGCAGTACACAGAAATTAAAGCTGTGCACTGATATTCTAGGCTTAGCAACAGGAAAGTATTTCGAATAGTCTCATGGACACATATGGATAGGTGATAGGAGTAACAAAAAACAATGGGAAATAAAGCCAGAACATCAGGAAAAACATCCCAGTAATGTGCTCCTCTCTTCAGATTAAGCCCCATCACTAGAGCCTTTCAAAGCTAGAGTATAGAGAAATACCCATTGTAGGGAACATACCTGCATTAAGCAGGGGCCAAAACTAGGTGGAAAGGGTACTTTTTTGTTCTCTCATTTTGAGTCAAATGTAAAGGGAAGCACATGTAACAGTTAAAATTGCTCACATACAAATATCATGCACCCACAGATTAAAACGTCACAGAACAAACTCATTTTGGGTGGCACCCCTGCCCGTGGTGAGGGGTTGAACCTAAGTGATCTTTAAGGTCACTTCCAACCCAAACCATTCTAGGATTACAAATACATTATACCACAAGGAGTTAATAATAGGCTGGAGAAGGAACAATTTTCCTCTGGCTTGATTCAACGCACTTGCATTATTCATCACATTTGTGAAGGAATATGAATCCCATCAAATAATTAGATGGTGTGTTAACCTTCCTGGTTTGCAGCAGCCTGTGACTGACAAGTAGAAGGGTTCTCCAACAGCAATTTCCTGTGCTGTCGCTCCTTTCTGCCTGGACTCTCAATGAAGGGTGCATTTTGTGTGTTTGTATAGGGAATCCCTGTGGAGTTTTTGTTGAGCTTTAGGTCAAAAGCCTCTGAATTTAACTTTAAATTGGGGAACTAATTAAATATTTGTTGCAGTATCTATTACCAGTACTACAATACTGGTCCTCTTCCAGTACTGTAATTAAAAAAAAAGCCACTCTCTTACATCAGTTTCGATTAGAGTAAGGTGTGAGGATGAAGCCTAGTGTGGTTTTCTCCCGCCTTAATTCCCCCCAGCATAGACTACCCTGATCATCGGCCTGGCTGATGGTCAAGTTCAAAGTATTTGTAGTAGAAAAAAGAAAAACAAAACAACAACAACAAGAGGTCCTGTCTGTTGTTCTGAAAATTGTGATATAAAAATCATAGGATTTGTAAGAATTTACAAATTATCTGAACTGACAGACTCTAAGAACTCTCAAAATTTCTTATGGGCTTTAAGGTTTCCAAGTAATTCAAGGAAACTACAAAGCAGACTGAGGCTAAATGAATCCTTAAATTCTGCTGACGAATAGGATGTCATGAACCACCAGTGGAAAAAGCTGGTAGAACCTCATAACATAAATTAGTTCAGTAAGTTCTGTTCTAATTCAGTCAAGAACTGATGAGGGAATCAAGGTCAAACAAGGCAACTGCAGTTGTTTGTCATAGCTTTAAAGACTGTTAAATTCTAGGGGCCTTACCTGTGCTACGTCATTTTCTTCAAAACTTCCACTTCACCGTGGTGAGTCCATCCCAGAATGCAGCTGCATTTTCAGCATGTTCTTTATACAGTGGTGGAGCCCCTGGTGGTCTAGTGGTAAGGGCGCAGCGCTGTCACCGCAGAGACCCGGGTTCGATTCCCGGTCAGGGCCACTCCCGGGCAGGTGGGGCTCGTTAGCCCTTAAAGGCAACCCACCTACGTCCTAAGGACCTCGCTGCCACCGTCCAAGCTCGCTTGGCCCCGGCAGATGAACTTTAGGATTAAAGGGTGGGCTCAGTTCCGCGCACACTGTGTCTCACCTAAAAAATCCAATGCGCAGGCTGGAAGGTGTAAAGACCTTCCCCGGATCTTCGCTCGCGAAGACTGGCCATTATTATTATACAGTGGCTCACACAAGTTGAAACTCATCCTAGAAATAGCAGGCTTTCTAGGAGATTTTCAAACTGTTTACCAACTTAAGGTAAAAACACTGATCAAAGGATAGATAATGCAGCATAGTTGATTACTTTCAGTTAATGTACGGATAAATGCAGCTAAAAAGAGTCAAAAGCAGAAGAAATTAAAGGCAGTGAATACTGCTACAGTGAATCCTATTCATTGTCAGTGTATATATACAGTGTCAATGGAGCAATGTATGTACTTTTAGAGAGTAATAAACAATGGAAACAAACGCTGCTCTTAATGAAACTGGAGTGAGTGTGATGTTCCCTACTTAGCTGGCACGACTCTGGATTTTTTTGGTACTGCCAAAGGCAGAATAAGGCTCATTTACTTGGTATTTAGCAACACATGACTGTGGAGCATGAGCCAGAGAACAACTATGGCTTGCTGCTTTGAGATTTTTCTGAAGAAACAGCGGGGATAACTGAGTTCCTTCTCCAAAGCTGTCCCGGGAAGCACTAACTGTGTGTCAGAACCAAGGAATCCAGCGAGCAGGGCAAAAGCTGCGCCCCTGTCCCCCTGCTGCCCTTGTCCAGGTGGTGCTCGGTCACAGGTTCAACTCCATGATCCCAGAGGTCTTTTCCAACCTAACCGATCCTGGGATTCTTGAAGAGCCTGAGGCTCCCTAACTCTCAGCAATCCTCCAAATCGCCAGGATGAAGGATCATAGAGCAGCTTGTCAAGCCTGGGCGTAGCAGGGTGGCTTTTTAGTGGAAATGGAAACAGCCTGCTCGCAGCTCCCAAGATCCGCGGGCGATCCTCGGGGAGCATCCCTGACAGGACTTCGGCTTGGGAGAAACGCCCCGAGAAGCTCGACCGGAACGATTGGAAGCGGGTTACTTTCCTCAGGGAACGCGTCCCTCGCACTTGGCAGGGAGGGCAGTCCCAGGGCGCCTCTCCCGGGGCGGCTCCGCCAAGGGCCGCCCCGCCCCGCCCCGCCTGCCCGGCTCCTGCCCACAACCAAGATGGCGGCGCGGGGGACGCGGCGGGCGCGCAGCCGCCTTGCCCTGCCGCGCGCGCCTCCGTGGCTGGCGGCGGGCGCGGCCACGTGACGCGTTCAAGCGCGCCGCGCGAGCCCCGCGCGGAGGGGAGGGCAGGGCCGGGAGCGCGCGGGCCATCAGGTGACCCCCGCGGCGGCGCGCGCCCCTCACCGCGACAGGGACACGGGGACAGGGACAGGGACACGGGCGGGGAGCCCGGGAACACGGGAGGGACTGGGGCTCAGCCGCGGCGTTGGCAGCCGGGGGCGGCCCGGGCGGCCGGGCAGGGTGACGCGCAGCCCCCGCGGTGTGGGGGTCGCGGCGCGGGGGGCTCGGTCTGCGCTCCGCGGGTGGCGGGCACGCCGCGGCCTCGCTGTCCCGGCCCGCCGAGGGAAGCCTCGCCCGGCCCCGGCGCTGCCCGGCCCGTGCGGCCGCTCCAGGGGCAGCAGCCGCTCGTCGCACCCCGCGTGGGGCTCGTGGGGCTCCGGCCGTGGGGACACGACACGCCACGGACACCAGCAGCGCTCTCTGGGCTGTCTCGCTGAAGTCTCTAGAAACAGCTCCTGCTGCGTTCACCACGGTGATGAGGCCACCAGTGCCTTGGGAATATTCGAGTGATGTTGCAGGGGCCGCTGCTGGCCTTGCTACAGAAACTGTAGATGTTGAAGAACATCTCGACATGTCAGTGAATTTGAAGGCTGACAGGCACACTATTCTCACAACCCAGTTAGCCTTCCACAGCGTACATTTTATTCCAAAGAAAAAAAAATAAAGCTGTACCATATGCATTGGAGAAAACGGTCCCAAGTGACATAAAGATACCAGAATATAGAATGATCCTGCTGTTCTCCTTCTCCAGCTAATTCAGCTTTCTTTTCCCATAAAGGGCTTCTTCGTTCATGGCTTGGGCCAGGCACTCATAGGATGGACCATCGACTCTCCTGCAGGCATTGAAGTGACTTCACGAACACTGGCTGTGAGCCAAGGTCCTCACACAGGTGGCACATCTTCTCAGGTAAGGGCTCCATGTCCAGAGCACCCCAGTGCAGCAAGATCTGGAGGGAAGAGTCTGGCCACTGGCATTACTATCACTGTAATTTACCAGGACTGAGTTCTCAGCAAAAGCCTTATTTTCATTTTAGAGCATTAAGCAGTTAATTGTGTTAACAAGCACAGTGACCTCAGCCTGCTTTCCCATAGCAACCACACAGTGAAAGTCCTTTCAGAGGCTTCATTAGCAAAACAAACAGAAAATGGAAGCAGTGAAATTATGTCTGTAAGGTGTTACTTAGCCTGGAAAGTTTTCTTTTAGGCCAGCAAAGTTAGAGGAGGTAAATAGTTTAGTGGAGTATAGGCATGGCTAGTTCTCTGTCCTACTGATCTGGCTTTTGAGAAATGTCCTCTGAGGCTGTATGTCACAGGCTGCACTGAGAGGGCCTCATATCCCAGAGAAACACACTTCCCCAAGCACAGACACACTGAGCAGCATAAGACATGCTTTGTGCTTTCTCAGAACAAGTTTTCAGAGAGCATAGTGAACCATCCCAGTGCCATTACTCACTCACTTAAGAATAATCACTGACACTTGGGCTAAATGAACCTTCTCAAGGTGTTTTAATCCATCCCTCTGCCAGCTCAGATTTACCTAAACTTTCTCTAACCTGTTCTGAGAAATATCCAAGGCATATAACACCCATCTCTTTCCACTTGCAGAAAACTCTAGTCATTGGTAGGCAAATTAATGATCTCATAAAAGTTGATATACATCCAAATGGCAGCTCCTCTTATTTCAGAAACATTTTCCTAAAGGGCTCTCCTCAAGTCTGTCTTGTTAATATGAAGTCCAAGGCACAATCAGTCATTCCCATCCCATCACACTGACTATTTGAGAATCGTTACTGAAGCTTGAGTTAAAAGAGCCATCCAAAATGATCTAGCTGTATGCAAACACTTCAGATTTTCATCCTTTTCTTTTTGAGGAAGGTAGATTTGTACAATTGTAAACCAGCTTTTCTTGAATATAGCATAAGTAATTTTATACTGCAGAAGGATAATGGTACTTTTAAAGAGATATTATTCCTACATCTGTTTTACCAAAAAAACTCCAATATTTGACAATAACATGTTAGGAAGGAGAATGCAAAGGTGATGGGGATTGCTAGGTTCTTGAGATTTGACAGTACCGTGGGAAACTCTGTTCAGCTGCTGGTCAACGTATCTAGCATAGAAAATGAATAATTTTCACATTCACATTTTGAGAACTGATACCACTTTCCTCTGCCTGAGGTGAGGAAATACATATGCCATGCAATTGTTATGTGGATCAAGTAAGCAGTCCTGATATTTCAAACTAAGCCTGTCTTAATGAGATGACATACAGTGCTCCACTGCTCATTCTTCAGTAGTAAACCCCAGTGTTTAAAGACTGTCAGAAAAATAACAGGGATTTCCAAGACCTGAAGGTCTCTTATTGTGACAGTGCAAAACTGTGAGGCTGTAGCTGTGAAGAGCAATAGAAGTATCATTTCTTTCTTGCACACTTTAAAAAATAGATTCTGTGCAACATGTTACACAGAGCCCACATTATAACAACAAAAATTGCAGAAGGACTTTCATAGATACATTTGAATCAACTGACAACTACTGTAGTGATCTTAAAATCCACATTGCAATTACAGCTGGAAGTTTAAAACTATGGTTTAAAACATCTTTTCAGGAAGATTGAGCTCTCAGGAAACTGATTTCTCTTGCCTTTGGGTTTTAGATCAATTTGTGCATTGTAAATCACTCCCACACAAACTGGGCACATAGAATAAGCTCTTCTAGTGAATCTCCACCTTAACTATTGCAGGTCACCACTAGTGTGGTGACGGAGGGTTGTCCCAGTTTAAAATGAGACAAAGGGCCTTTTGCTGGAGGAGAATTAGGAGCAAAGACTCCAAACTTCTCTTTCCAAACAATTATAACCAAATTAAGAGGCCCGATTGAAGGAAACAAAATTATGGAAAAGGGAAAATAATGTTCTTTATTAAAGGTATGTGTGTATTAACAGGAACACGAAAAAAACCCAAGTAAAATAACTAAGCAATACTCCTATACCCACCCAATAATCCCTTTTAAGAACAAAACCGATAAACCGGCAAAGAAAATAGTTCAATTTTGCACCTTTGGTGCTGTTCAACCACAGTCAGCAGGGGGCGCTGTCAGGTCATCATTGGAGATGCAAAATTTGTAATGTCCTTATACCATCTTGTCAGTAGGCGCTACAATAACAATATGTAAAACTTGTAGTGTCTCTATATGTCACCAGGTTACTAAGGATCACTGAAGGAGTAGAACTTGTGGGGCTGTCCAGTGCCCATGTCACCAGGCAGGCGCCGTTGATCCTTTTGCCATACCGGGGAGGGAAGGGGGTGGGGAACAACAGCAATAAAAACAGAAAGTTCTCCTAATGGAAGAAAACTCACAAACTTCAGCTGATTAGGGTCCGTTGTGGCAGGGCTTGCAGTTAGCCAGAGGTGAGCCAAGAGCAGCAGCCAGAAACTCCTCCGACAGGAAACAAAAGGAGCCTGGCAGTGTCTGCAGCCCACAGCAGCCTTCTCCCCTGGCCGAGAGAGCGAGTCCTCCCCCCAGCCCACCCCCTTCCAGTCACACATCAGCCAATCTCCCTTCGTTGTCAGGGCAACTAATCTCCATCATTAAGGGCTTCTTTTGTTCAACTAATTGGCCCATCACAGAGCACACACACACGGCAGGAGGAAAGGAAAGAAAAATTCCTTGCTAAAGAATACGAACTATGACAAGGGTATAATGCATAAGGTGTTTCGGTGTCCTGAATTATGTAATTCCAAACTTGTCTGAGTGCCGTGGGGTGGCTTTGTTTATATCCTGCTAGCTCTGAAAGCCTCATCTCAGGAAATGCCAAACCTTTTTTGATTCCCATGGGAACATGAGAATTGTCTGTCAGCAGCCACACGACTGCTCCACAAGTTCTGTGTCAAACAGACCTGGTCCTGTCCTAGTATGGTTGAAATGAGGGAGCTGCACCACTGGGAGCATGTTGACCTTTGGAAGCTCTCTGGCCAATGGCCACATCAGTTTCTCTGTATGCAGATCCAGTTCTTCCTCAGAAGAACTCAGTGCTTATACCAGGAGTTTGTCCACCCAACACCTTTGTAGACCCCAGTGGGAAGGAATGGCTAAGGAACAGCTTTTCTCCATCCAATTCAGTCCAGACTCAGTACTGATAGCTGAAGGAGGGCTGTGGGCAGCCCCTTTCTGCCATGGCTTCTGTAGGAGCTCTGTGATTCTTAGAACTCCCCTGAGTTTTGGCTTATCAAGTGCCCCTTGTTGTAGCTGCATCAACTGTAGAATGGCTCATTTACCAAGCACAACAACGGGCTCCTATTTGGGCAGGATTCCACTGGCAGTCTGTGCCTGACCTGGAGACCTTTGATATTTTGGCTGGCAGACTAGTCATCTGTGCCCTGCTTGGTATTTTCCTGTAAAATATGCTCTAGGTTGTCCTTTCTTTAGGAGACAATACTTTTCCTCCCACTCGTTCCTGAGTTAAGTCCAAGCATTGCTGCAAATGCTTTTAGCTGGGAGGTCCACCCCTTTCTGTACTGAGAGTGCGAATCCATTGCTTCCTCACCAGACAACGCAGTGTTCCAGCTCAGAAGGTGTCCCTGAGCTCCTGCAGCTGGACACGTCTGCATTTCCAGCTTTGCTTCCCAGAGGTGACATTTTAAATGTACAGTACAGCTGCATACCTACAGCTTCAACACAATCAGGAGAGGCCCAGGATATTGGGCTGCTTTGGGCTGGTATTTCCAGTGGATCCTCATACTGCTGGTTTTTATGGATGTTTTTGCCTGCTGTTACCCAGAGATGACGAGACATTGGAGACATCTGTGAATTGTTCTGATCAGAAGAGCACACTTGCCTATACCGTACCTGCATTTTGATCTTGATATTTTGATCGACTTCTTGCCTTTAAAATGACATGGAGTTTTCTTTTTCCTCCTCTTTTTTAGAGAAAAAGGTTTAGTGAGACATGGAGCTTGAAAGAATCATTCGAGACACACTGACACGCTTCATCCAGTCCCACATCCCCGCAGCAGATCTCAGGTATGTTGAGATAGGCAGATCCAATATCATTGTTCTAGCTTGAATTCTGTATTAATTGTCCCTCTGCGCATTATATTGAACTCTGTAGCTTTTCCATACTTTCTGTTGCTTTTCTTTAAGCCACATCCAGGATGCAAGTAATTTGCACAGGCTCTGAGAGGAATGCTTGAACAGCTATAGTTTAGCATTGCAGTCTAGCAATGTCATTCCTTTGATGACCGAGATGATTAATTTCCTGTCCAGTAATACCCATTAGAATATGAGATTTCCTTCATTCCACAGTGCTCCCAAAGGGCTTTCTGAGCAGGATAATGCTATGTCAGGGCTCTCCTGTTTTGAACTGTGCCTGCATGCAGAGATACAGCTGCCTTGAGGCTGGAACACAGCAGCTGGTTTTGCAGCTGGTGCCAGTAGTGACACAAGGGTGGAGAGCAGCAAGCAGAGAACACTGCATCCCACAGAAAGTGTAGCTTGACAGAATGTGATGACCTCACCTGAAATGCCAGTCAGCATAGTCAGTCAGTCAGTCAGTCAGGGATTTGAGCACTTGGAATATTTTGGTTAGCTCAGCTGAAGCACCTACAGGAGCCTCTGGGCACACTGGGGCTTTCATTCAGTGCTGCCCAGGAGGCAGGACTGCATGCAGTATTTTATCTGTTAATGCTTCCCACTCAACCACTGACCAGCTGCTACCTGGCTTTACTGGTGGTATGTGCCTATAAGACACACTCCACATAGGTCCTTCTGCTGCCATATTAAACAAAGTTAGGGGGAATGGGGATGTAGAGAGAAAAAAACCTGGGCCTCCTTTTGACCCTGCTACCATGTCCTGTCTTCTCTCTGTCTCCAGTGGGATGGATGATGTTTTCTTCTCCTATATCACGGGTGTCCTGGAAGAGCTGGGCTCACCAGAGTCCTCTGAGGAGATTTTTGACATGGACACCTTTGTGGAAATGATGGAGGCATATATCCCTGGATTTGCAGAAATCCACAGGTATGTAATTGTTGCTGCTTTTTATGTGCATGCCATGCGCTTGGGGCCTGGACCCAGGCCCCTCAGTACCATAAATTCTTTTGTTGTACCCAGCTGAAGATGTATTAGTACCAAACCTGTGCAATTAAGTCAGTCTTTGCCTGAATACACAGATGCTAATCCCAGTATAGTTTGCAAGTATGTCCTTGGCCATCTGAAATACCAGTTGATTTTATTGGGCTTCCCATCAAGCCTTGTCTTTCTATAAAAAGGTCGCCAAGTAGGATAGGCTAGTGCTTGTATTCCTCACATTAATAATACAGCTTCTGTCTCCTGCAGCGGGGATGTTTGTGAAATGATGTTCTCCCTCTCAGAAAGGCTTGGCGAAGCTCGCAACAAAGGTGAGTTACACAGACTATTTCAGCACAAGAAGGAATATTCTGTACATGTTTTCAGTCTTCATATTTGGAGTTGAGCAATGTCACAGGATAAAATACAATCTTGTTTGCCACATAAGGTAGCCTGAATTGAATGACAGGGGTTTTTTTCAGTGTTCAGTCAGGTTTTTGATATCAACACATGGGAGGTTGGAGTCATATGGAATACTGTCCAAGACATACTGGAGTGAAAAACACAAGGTCTATTCTCCAGATACCTCTGTTGAGATCAAATCCAGAGTAACAAGGAAGAAATAGCAGACACAGGGCTGCTTGTTGAAATTCTGCTGTAGGTTAATTCTGAAAGTGAGGATTTTTGCCTGCCTCTGATACCCATCCAAGTGGCACTACCACTGAGCAGCCTTTATCAGGTGCATCATCAGATAGAGTGTCCAGCTGAATACATGTATCACACCTAGGCTTAGCATCCTCAAAGCTCACTTCCCAGTCATCCATGGACCCTGGCACAGATGCAAAATGAGTGATGTGCTCTGTCCTGCACTAGACTACACTATGCTAATGGCCCTTTCTAACCTCAGCATTCACAGATCAGCTGGACTGCTCTATCAATCAGCCCCACAGGTACTTCCCACTAAAGAACAGACAGGTTGAAGTGTCTGGATAATAAACTTTCCAGGACATACAAATCTGGGTTTTGCTTGTCTTGTAACATCTCTGCCATCTTGCCAGAAGGCTACACAGTGTAGAACAGACAGTCCTGTCTTTTATCTTACTTGCTGCTTTCTTGAACTTGACAAAATCTACTGCTCTGCTCTGGTGTCCTGCATCCTACCCTTTGAGGATCCTGATGTAGCTAGAGCATGGAAGGAAAGCACTATTCCAGTCTTAGATAGGACAGAGAAAAGGTGAAATGATTCTTCTTGCAGTGACAAAAAAACAGCCTGTAAAAGAGATGCATCAGAGTAACCTGATCACAGGATCTGCTAACTTGCATGCAGTCTGGGGACTACCACAGTGTATTGCCAAATTTAAAATCAAAACCACACCTTATTTCAAAGATAGAGCAAACACCAGGGAATTCTTAAAAAAGTAAGAAAAATATCTTAAGTATCCAAACCCAAAGCACTAGAGAACCAAGAAGAGAAAGGTAGAATTGAATTTGCAAGCAGCCCATGCCCTGTACAGCTTGGAAATGCAGAACTCGGGCACTGCAGCACATGCTCGCTCTGCCTTCCTGCAGGTCAGTGTGAGCAGAGCTGCAACTGTCCCAGCTGAGGACAGAAGGAAGAGTAGTACTTCCAAGTCTTGTCACTTAAGAGATTTGCTTTGGCACATAATGCAGTAGCAATCTAATGCCAACAGAAAGCACAAAGCTCTAGGCTTAGTGGGACTGTACCTCAGGAGATATCACTGTGTCTTTAAGAAAAACCTGGCCAAAAGGCTGTGGAAAGCAGGAATGAAGCGCCCTCTGAAGACCTCACCAAGGGCCAGGAGCCTGGAGCTGGAGCCTGCAACGGGGAAAGGCTGTGCACTGTAACAGACGGAGCCAGGGCCCAGGTATGAGTACCCTGCAGAGGAGCAGGAACACTGGGGACAGTCACAGAGCACTAGGCTACCAGCACCACCTGAGGGCATTTTCCAGCTCTGGAAGGAACCACAGCATAGGCTGTGACACAGCATCACTGTGTCTGTGATCTCCTGATTGTATGGCCTGAACAAGACTGTGTCAGAAAATTATGTGCTGACAGAAGACTATGAGCCAATGCTCTAGCTCATTCTTTCCAGCAGGTGGAAAGGATGAGCCATAGCAATGGCACTAGGAGCTTGTCCCAGTGCCCTCAGAGATCCCACAGCAGCCACAGCACTGTAGCACCTGCCGTATATCCCCCACCTCCCTCCCCTATGCTCTGTTTGCTCTTTCTCTAGTACTGATCTATTTCTGCTCTGCAGCATAATCATTCTGTATCCACAGCCTTCTAGCAAATACTGCTATGGCGATTCCTTGTGCTGTAGCCTCAGGTCAGTGTTTAGCAGCCCCTTCCCCTTCTGATCAAAGCACACACAACTTCACAAGATGTGCAGGAGTTCAGGCATTCACACCAGTGTCCAGAAAGCTCTCTCCTAAGGAGACACATAGCGTGGCCACACAGATGAGTCAGTTCACAGCAGCCCTACTTGAAAGTTAAGTAGAAACACGGAGGGAAAAGATTAAGGAAGAGTAATGGTTTGTCTTTCCAAGGATACAGTTTCCTGTTAGCTTCAGGAATGGGATTTAGCAACATTTGTAAGGAGAGAGAGCCTCCGGCAAAAGGCAAGCTCAATTTCCTGACAGTGAAAAACCAGAGGCCCTAGCCCTCTCCTCACTGCATCCTCAACTTACCGCTGTCTCTTGCTCCAACTAGGAAAGCGATGACTTGAAGGATGGGTTGGAGCTGCTACTGGAGATGTTCCCAGCCTGTACCGTGAGCCAGGCAGAGAAGGCTCTTGCCATGGCCTTGGGGAACTTGGAGGAGGCAGTGCAGTTAATTGTGGAGGAGAAGGTGGAAATTGGCCCAGCAGGTGTGAGCGTGAAGGTACTGTACTCTGACTGGGTGGCAGGGGGCCAAGGAGCAGAGCAGAGCTCAGGGACACACAGGCATCACAGCTGTCTGCTACAAGCAGAAGCTCTGACTGCACAATGAGCCGGGAGGATCACCCAGAAAAACAGCCCCTCTCCCTCCCCTGGCTCTTAGTATTAGGCTGTGCCCACAACCAAGCCAGCAGCCCAGTGGAGGTGTGGCTGGCACCCCTTTCCCACAGGGGCTGGAGTGCTCCATCAGCAGCTGGGCTCACCAAGCTGGCAGGGGGAAACTGTACACTCCACGTGTTTTACTGTTCATACACCCACCTTGTCTCCTCCCAGGAACTGGCACGGCCCCGCAGAACACCCAACCACGAGGAACTAAAACAGGTTATCCTGCAGAAGTAAGTACCCAACAGCAAAGAACCCCTAATTTTGCAGGAGGAGGTGGCAGTTTGGGGAACAATGTGGTCTATAAAGAACTTGGGCTGCAAGATGCTTAGTAAGGAGGCTGTGAAGCAGATTTGGATATAGCTGAACACATCTAAGCACAAATATAAACGTCATCTGGAGTGGAAAACAAACAACAACAAAAAACAAACCAAACAAACAAAACAAAAACCCACAACAACTGGAAAACCCAAATAGGTTTGTTTTTTTAGAGCTCTGGCAGAGAAACAGGTCACCTGTACCAGCTGGGTCACAGCACTGGCTGTGTGTGAGGTTTCAGCCTCCTGCAGATAAAGAGTAAATCACAGTACTGTTGGCTGAGGTCCTAGTTAAAGTTTCAAGGCATAAATATCATGCTGCAGCTCAGGTAACAAACACATGGTGATTTGTAGAACTACAGCAACTCATTCATACCTCTATCCTTGGAGACAGTCCAAACAAGGCTAAAGATATCTTTAAGAGGCTGTCTGTACAACAACACTGAGAAGATTAAATCTCAGTTGCTGAAGGTGAAAAATCAGTGCATTTAAAGAAACCTCACTGAAGGCCCCGTATGGGCTTCTTGACAATGAAAATATCTTTAGATTCGTTTACCTATATTTATTTCTAAAAGCATTTAATTCTCAATAAGAGAACCCACACTGTGGTTTCATTGATCTGCTTTAAGATTTCAGCTTTCATGAGCAGACAGCTTCCACACATCTATCCAGCCACATCTTTTCCACCACTTTACATTCTCCCCAGTGACAGAATAACCGGTCGATGGGCTAGGAAGGATAAAGCAAGGCAGAACAGCATCCAGGCAGAAGTAGCAATCTCTGTCCTTGCCCACCTCCTGTCCAGGCTCATATCAGCGTGCCAGGTGAGGGAACAAAAAAGCACCAGCTGCTGATGTTTCTGAGAACTTCAGTTTAATGACATTTTGGCAACATCCTGTACTTTAAACATCACTCAAGCACAGGTACAGAGAGCAGATCGCCATAGCTGAAGATACACATGAGCAACTATACTAACTACTGAGGGAGCAGTCATGGTCAGCTGTGCTAAACCAGCACCAAAATCTCAGAGTAGCAACTCAGCAGTACAGCAAGCAAATGCTTGGACCCTGATGTTTCAGTCACACAGGAAATAAGGTGATGCTTTTATGAAGTTGCTTCCAGCACAGGCCTGTTTCATAGTCAAGTAGTAGATGGAGTGTGAAAGAAACACCATCGTTCAGGGCAGAAGCAGACAGATTGGTCCTCTAATCTCATCTGTCTCCTTTGGCTGCCAACACTTGGACTGAGGAGGAGCAAAGCTGCCCTAATGGGAGAGCACACCTGACCTCAGCACCTCTCATTTCTGCAGTGGCTATCAGCATTCTCAATCACTGGAGTTTTCAATACCTTTCACATATAGCCAAGGATGCTACTCCAGGAGAATCCTGCTGGATTCTCACCAGGATGACACTTCTTGCCCATTTCATCCAGAGGGGAACATCAAGTGCTCTTTGCTGCAGTCTAGTCACATAGGACACATTGCACAGCCACAGACCAGCCAGGGGAGAAGGGACATAGGCTGTGAGTAGCCCTAGGCAATGTAACTGTTCATTAAATGCTTCTTGTGTGCAATGCTTCTTTCAGATACATGATGGTGGATAGTGCAGATGATCAGAAAACACATCGGCCAGCTCCACCTAAAGAGGTAAGCACAGCAGTCCCAGCTCACCAGCAGTTTGAATGTCCTTTGTTACAAGGTTTAAAAAAATCAGGGTGCAAGTCCAAAAAGCAAGAGGGCAGCCAAAGGCAGGACCATTCACAGAACCTCTTATTCAAAGAGGGAAGATTAGCTTAGCTAAGGTGCTGCAGGGTCTGTCAGTTCCTACCATTCCTGACTACCATGGCTCTTGCTCCCCCTCATCAGATAACATCCTTTCCAATTGTGGCCAAGATTCCCAGCACAGATGATGCTAAAGCAGCACACCCACCAACCTACCTCCCAGAGTGAGCTCTGCTTCTGCTTGCCCCTTCCCTTTCTCAAGCAGTGTGGCTGTCCATCCACTTGGTGTTAATGTCTTTCCTCTCCAGGCTCCCAAGAAGTTGATCCGCTATATTGATAACCAGGTGGTAAGTACAAAAGGAGAGAGATACAAAGACATCAAGAAGCCTGAGAGTGAAGAGATGAAAAGAACCTACATCAGCCTAAAACCAGCCAGGAAATACAAGTTCCACTGACAGCCAGGTTCTCCTGCTCTTCAGCCTTCCACCTCCCTGGCCAGGCATGGCAGGATGGACTGTGGTGCTAGGAATGAAGGACTCCTCCACCTGCGGCTAACTTGAACTAACCTGGGAGCCAGGACACTGTTTTCAGCTTCCTCAGCTAACCTGGTTGACAAGGAGGAGATTTCTCTCCTTGTGTAGCTATCCCTCTGCCCCCAGGGGCACACTGCGGTGGCTCTCCGGGGCCTGGGCATTCTCTGCTATTCCTTGCATGGGACATTTTTAGATCTGAGATGTGGCTTGTGCTTTTGCAGCAACCTTTTTAACAAGTCTGTGTGCACTGTTGCTCTGAGTGCCAGTATTAATAAAGATGATGTGAGTTGGTGTGTAGTTCTGCCAGACATGCACATGCTTTACAGACACTGTCTCCAATCCCTCCTAGGGCCAAAGATAGAATCAGGGTCATCCTCTCTTCCTCTCATTACTCTCTTGCATCACATTCACCACAAGATGTGGCTGCTGTTTGATTAACTGCCTAGCAGATACAAGTGCTGAGGCTGAACTCCAGCGCTAGACTCTCCCTGCCAACATAACATGCAGCTCTTCACAAACTTCAGCTGACAGTAGAGCCAGTGCTCCTGCCATTTCTCACCACTATTGAGTGCCAAATTTCCAGCTATGCCACACAGAGCAAGATACAGTAGCAGGCCTGGGCACTACTAAAATGTTAAGTCAGAAGCTGGAAGAAACAAATGACAACGACCAACTGCTTTCAGTGACAGCACAGCTAGGTTTGGTGCTTTTCTGTCAGTGAAACTGCAGTTAGGAGTGTGTTCCCCTGAAAACATCTCCCACCTTGCCCCAGCCTAAACCAGCACCCTAGGCCTGGACAGACACACTGCCTGTGCTGGGGCCATTCCAGTCCTTTGGTGCCAGGCTGGCCAGTGGCCACAGGCCAGAGGTAGGCTTACTGCCCTCCTCCCAGAGCTCAGAGGGGCCTGCCCTCTACCAAGAGGAAGGTTGGTAGCTGTTCTCCTTTCTGCTCCAGCTGGTCTGGTTTGTTCCACAGCTCTGCTGGCATGCCCTGTACACCCACCCCAGGGGACAGTCCCCATCACACACTCCCCTGCTCTCTGGACAGCTGCCGCTTAGAGATTTAAAATACAGCAAATAGTAAATCCTATCTATTAGCTGGCCTGGCCAAGGCCTGTTCAGCACCATGGTGTTCCTGCAAGTCACTCGCTCTCTCCACGCCACTGCAGAGGGAGTTACTTTCCCCAGAGGCAGCAATGAAGCCTATTCGTGAACACTCAGTGGCTACTAAACAGCCCCAGAGGAAAGAGTGAGTCCCACTCAGGCCAGCCTCACCAATGGGACCGACCTCTCCCTCTGCACATCTCCACAGCAGCCAGTTCTGGCATCCTTCCGGGATCCCACCATTGCATCAGTCCCCCCCTCCCCGGCAGCAGCAGTTCTAGATCTGAAGGTTGATGAAAGGGGCGAAGCCAACCACGTCCTGCAGGAGAACAAGAGCCCTCTGCAGTGGAGGCTCCACATCCAGCTCCACCCCACGGCTTCGGAGGACGCTCAAGCTGGACTCAGCCACGTTGTGGCAATGCTTGACCTTCAGCGAGCGCAGCTTGGGACAGTACTCAGCCAGGACCCTGCCAAGAAAGAGAGCACATGCAAGTTGCAAATCAGGATTCCTAAGCGCACCATTCACGCTCTACTCCCAGCAGCCCAGCACTCGTGACTGTACCATACATGCACCATCCTTTGGGAGCAGCACCCTGGCAGTCTGAGAGAAAGTCAAGGGACAAGGTTGGATCCCAGACCTACCCTCCCTAATATGCTGGGAAATTTGCTGTCAATAGCATACAATGTCTCTCCTGAAGGGCCTGCTAGTGGCTTCTCTCCCAGACTGAGCTCTCACTGCTTTCAGCAGACATCTGACTTTCCTCTCTGGTTCTCTTCCTACCCCAGTCACCTGCCATGCCCACCCTGGCTCCCCACATTGCTCAGTACCTGATGGAGTCATTCTTGACTCGCAGACACCCTGTGAGGTCCAAGTGCTCCAGCTCAGGGCAGCACTTGGCAGTCTCCTCAACAGCCACGTCGCCGACGTTGGCATTGACGGCCAGCGACAGAGACTTGAGCCTGCTGCACTTCTGCACCAGGTAGCAGATGGCCTCGTCCTTCAGCTGGCGACAGGCTGTCAGGTCCACAGCCTCCAGGGCCTTGCAGTGGTCAGCCAGACTGCGCAGGGCCAGGCTGTCCACCCAGTCGCACTGAGCCAGGGACAGCTGGCGCAGGTTGGGGCAGCTCAGCGAGATGGTCACCAGCGCGTGGCGGCTGAGCTGGACACAGCCCTTCAGCTGGATCTGGTGGAGGTGGTGGTTCTGCTCGATGACTGGGAGCAGCTCGCAGTCCGTCAGCCAGTCGGAGCAGTTCTGGAGTGCCAGCTGCTGCAGTACTTTGTTGTCCTTCAACAGGTTAACAAAAGCAGCTCGAGGGATGCCAGGCCTGATCTGTGTGGGGAACCCAGGAAGAGTGAGGCACCTCCTCAGGCTTTCACATCAGCCTGATCCTCACCAAATACCCTCTCCCCTCCTTTCTTCCACTTTGACAGTGGTGACCAAAGCCACCCCCTGTCCTCATCCTGGGGCAAACCCTACCATCAAACTCCTCTCTTCATGCCAAGGCTACTGCCACAAGCTAGGAAGATGCTCTGGCTTCTCCATCCCACATTATCACTCCCGCATTTATATACTTGTGGTGAGCTCCACATATCTGCTCTCCAAAAATCTCTTTGCTAGACCACTCTGCGTCCTCACAGAACAGCAGCTACTCCTGTCTTTCCCACTCCTAGGTAGTGTCTCCCAGAGCCAGCACAGGCTTTTCCTGATGATGAGGCACAGAGTTACCCCCCATCAGACCCACCCTATTGCACAACCTCTGTGAGGACCAACAGGCCATGCCACTCCAGAGCTGGCTTGTGTTTCTGCCAGCCAGTGCCCCATAATGGCCTAGGTGGAATTTCCAGGCTTACTCCTCCCAGGGCCTCTTGCTAAAGACAGTGGCATTGCTGGGCCCTGAATCACTACCTCTCCTCCCTGAGCCCATCAGTCCAGTCTGACACCTGAGCTATTAACCCAAGCTACTGAGCAGAAACTACCCTCCTTGCCAGGGGGTTCTTCTCCCCACACAGATGCTCCCCTGTTAGATCCAAAGCAGTAGGACATCTGTGTCCTCCCCCAGCCTCAGAGCCATCCAATACCTGGCTTGAGTCAAAGCGGCGCATGTTGGCCAGGTACAGCTGGATGAGAGACTGGAATGCCTTGCTGACCCTCTGCAAGCTCAGGAGCTGCTGCAGTGGCAGATGACAGAGAATGTGTGGAAGCAAGATGTCTTCCCAGGGCAGGTCCAGGAGGCATCCCCCGGTGGGGGTCAAACTCATCCTCAGACACCAGAGAGCCAGGCTACTGTGGGAGCCAGGCTAGATCACCTCACACCTACTGCCGGGTGCCTCTAGGAGGAACAGCCAAAAAGAAAGACTCAGCGATGTTTCCCACAATCAGCCCACAGGGTAAAGTTCCTTGGCGAGCCATCAGCAGGGCATGTGCCTGCCACCTGCGTCACCGTCACCTCCTCCCCAACCCGGGACGCTCACTGCTCAGGCATCCGAGTCCACCTCCCCACACTGCCCTCCAGGAGTCCTGGGGTGGGGCTTTCTACCAGCCGCCGAAGGAGTCCCTGTCCCTCAGCGAAGCAGCAGGAGGCTGCTGCAGCAGCATCGCACTGCTCGCGGGGCAGCTGTGCCCGGCTCTCACGTCTGAGCATCGCTCTACCCGGCAGCTAGTCCCCGGCATCCAGTGCCGGGCCACTCGGGCGCCCTGCGAGGGGAAGAGACCAGGTCTCCGCTCCTTCCTGCGGGGAGCAAGGCTCCGGGATCTCCCCAGGGTGTCCCCCCGAAGAGCGGGCACTCGGCACCTCTGCAGTGACGAGGCCTTGGGCCGCGAGAGGAACCGGCTGAGGGGTCCCGGCAGCCCGGGGCCTCCCGAGCTGCGGCTGGAGGCCGGTTAGACTCGGCTGCAGCAGCACCCGCAGCTGGGGCAGCCTCGCCCGCGGCCGTTCCTGCCCCGCCGTCCAACGGGGCCCCGCTCGGCCCCAGAGCCGCCCCCGAGCTGCCCTGCCGCCGCGGCTGCGGGAGACACGCCGGGGCCTGGACGCCGCCCCGCTCTCGGCCGCAGGGCCCCGTGGCGCGGCGGCAGCAGGGCAGGGCAGGGCAGGGCAGGGCAGGGCAGTCCCACGCACCCCGGTACCTGCGGCCCCGGCGAGGCTGCCCCGGCCCGTCCATCCCGCCGCGCCGCACCCGCCGGACACCGCCGGCCGCCCGTGACGTCACCGCGCCGGGCGGAAGTGCGCGTGCGCCACCGCCCCGCCCCGGCCTGGCCCCGGGGGCGGCGCGCGCGGTACCGGGGCCGGCCGGGAGGGGCCGGGGAGGCCGGAGCGGGGATCGCCCGGAGCTGCCGGGCCGGGGCACCGGGCGGGTGTGGCACGGCGCTCACAGGTCCCGCTGGTGTCCCGGCGGCTCCCGCAGGTGGCTCCCAGCGGCACGGCTCGGCGCGCACACCGGCCCTGGTGCCCCGGCTCACCAGGCGCACCTGCTCCCCCGGGCGCACCGTCTGTCCCAGTTCCTCAGTTATCCCAGTTCCCCAGCGCACACCGGATCCCCAGTGCACACCGGATCCCCCGTGGCCTCAGCTCCCCGGCGCACACCTGTGGCTGCAGCCCCGCGGCTACCGCGGTTGCCCCGCGCACACCGCCTGTCCCAGTTCCTCAGTTATCCCGTCTCCCCAGCGCACAGCAGGTCCTCAGCGTACACCAGCAGCCCCCGTTCCCCGCGGCCCCTGTTCCCGGTGCACACCGGCTGTGCCGGTCCCAGGGCACCCCTCAGCCCCGCCGGGCGGGCGGCCGCGCATGCGCACTGCGGCGGCGCTGTCCGTTCAGCACCACGCGGACCCGCCGGACCCGCCGCTGCCGGTGAGCGACGGCCCCGCTGCCGCCGGACCCCCCGGCCCCGCCGGACCCTCCCGGACACCCGCCCGGCTCTCTGCTCTCCCAGCGGGATATGCCACCCCCCGCCCGCCCGCAGGAGCGGCAGGACCCCCGGGAAAAGCCGGTGCCTGGGGCTTACTGGCCTCACGGCATCCCCGACCGGCAACCGCTGGGCCCCGCTCCCCCCCGGTACCGGGATGCGTTCCCCGGGCGGCCCCCGCCCGCCGTCCCCAGCCCGCATCCTCCCTCTTTTGCAGCCGGCTCCCCTCGCCCCACTCCTCGCCGGTGCCCCCCCCGCCCCTGCAGCCCCGGGGAGCGAGCAGGGTCCAGCCCCTCGCCCGCAGCCCCCTAGGGGAACCGGCCCGGGCTCCTGCCCGCGCAGTTGCCATAACGACTCCGCAGAAACAGACGCTGCTCTTCCCTCCCAGCTGCCGCTTGCGGAGCGGGCACCCCCCCGCCGATGCGGCAGTCGCCTACCACAGCCCCTAGATGGCCCTGGGCAGGTGACCCCATCTCTGGCTCGGATCTGAGCCCCGCCGCCTTGTGCAGCATCGAGCTGCTGATCACTGCTGGCATGGGCACTATAAAAATCCACCTGGCAAAAGAGGAGGTCCCACATACAATGAACGAGTCCCAAATCCCCGGTCCCGACTTTCCTGGAAATCAATAACCTGTCTATGCAACGTGGTCTGCTCATTCCTTCACAAGGTGGAAGCTGGTTTGCAGAACGGTTTTCTTTCCCCAGTGCCTGTCCTCTGGGAGAAGCTACCCATGCTGTCTACCCCTGGACATGTGGCTCCCCGAGTTAGCACAGTACATCTCTCACTTGCAGAAGGACAGGCATGCAGGGATTTTAAATTTTCTACGGGAGTTGAGAATGCCCCTGGCCATGTCCTGGGACAGCCTTTCCTTCCCCTGGGGTTGGGGCACTCTGTTCTTAAGTTCCTGCTGAGAAATGTGCCAGTTGGCAGAGTCCGTTAATATTCCCCCTCTAAGTGAATGACTGTGACTGAAGTTGGCTACAAGGAGGGTTTTTGAAATAATGGTCTTGGTCTGGAGACGAGGTGAGGGAGCACCAGCGAGCAAGGGATTGCAATGCTCAATTACATCTGGCCTTTGCTGAAGGCTTTCTGTGCCAAAACCAGATCTGGCTGGGAGCCTCCAGCTTTTGTTGAGTCCTTGCTGGAAGGAACTGTGCTGTGGATTGCTTGTTATCCTTCCTGAGCAATATGTGTGGCAAGTGGGACCTTCTCTGCTCCCACACTTACCTCTGTTTATGTTTTTCATTTCATCTGATCCAGCTGGGCTGGCTGAGTCACTTCCGCAGGAGCCTGCTGGTAGCAGGGCTCAGAGGCGGGCAGAGAGTCAGCCCAGGCAGACTCTGGGTACCACAGGGAGGTTGGGAGGCACTGTTATTTTAGAGGCGGAAGTGAGACAGGGTTGTATTTGTTTTGCCTCTGTGGCATCCCAACCCTTTCCTGGCTTTTGCTACACATGCAGAAGGAGGAGACTCTCCTACCTTTAAGACCTGGTGCCAAGGCAGAGCCTCAAGGTTTGGTTAGTGCAAGGCCATCTTCACTGAGACACTCACGGCACCACTGAGGAATCACACTTAATTCAGCTCACTTCAGCTTGCTCCCAGGACAGCATTCACTGTGCCAGGGCTGGAGGACTGCTGCCTGTCAGGCAGTACTGACTTTTTTTCAGGTGCAGCTCTCAGGGTCAACATTGCCCTGGGAAACAATGAACAGCTCTTGGATCCTGCAGCCTGAAAACAGGTTTCCTGGCTCACCACCATAGCAAGCACGGTGGGGTGCTTACTCTGACAACCCTCTTTAGCTCCTGAGTTCAGTGCAGCCTTTATTTTGCTGTCTCAGCAGTTAGAGGAGTGCAAGCAAGATAGGGAAGAAAAGGGTAAATATGCCAGCTGTGTCAGGGTATAGCAAGGGTGACTGCCTCTGAAAGGGCAGGCCCTCCGCAGACACAAACCAGTCATTCAATACCTGCCAAATAGGGGCAACTGAGTCAGGCCCAGCCTCATGATCAAGAAGCAGGGCCATGATGATGGGGCAGGGCTGAGGTCCACCTAGGACACCAACCTACAGGGGAAGGTCCAAATCAACGGTGCCAACAGCCTAGCATAAGAAAAGCTTAGCTAGACTAAGATGGAGACTAGTGCTCCTATAACACTTACCAGAAGATAAGAGCCCCAGACTAACCTTAAACAGATCCAGTGGGCCTATGGGCAGGAGCAGTGGAGGCTCCAGGGATAGCTGGTTAGGGCCACTAAGGTTTATTAGTGTCCCAAGAGCCCTGAAAACTGTTGGCCTGTGGGGGAATTGGTAGGCAGGCAGGCAGGCTACAGCTACAGCTACAGCTTCTGAGATGCATGTGCTAGGTACTAGGAGTTATGGACACTTCCCAGCTGTGAAATGTGAAATGTTCAGATTGGTCTCTTTCTTCTTGCCAGATTGTTTGCAGATGCAGAAAGAGCATCAGAGACTGTTACTGTAATGTAGAGGTGTGTGCTGAGACACAGCTTTACACCATCAGGATGTCCAGTGAAGCCAGAAACCTAGGACTACAATGGTAAGGATCTAAAACCAGAACTGGTTTTATGCTTATGTCTGTAAAGATTTCCTGTATGCAGACCAATTGTGATGTGGCTGTACAGCCCTGAAGTACAGGGAGTGGGGGGTGTTACCCGTTGTAGCTTCACAGTGAAGGGACCACTCCAAACAGACAAGCTTGAAGAACCAGAGCTTTGTTCTGCTCTGCACAGTCAAGATTTGCAGAAAGCTTCTGACATATGCTCTGCCTAAGGTGGGTCTGCATTTCTCTTGAGAGGCGTCTGTAAGTCTCCTTTTTAAGCTTCAGCAAGATGCACATTTTTAGTTGAGCCATAATACCTCAAACTGTCTGCCAAAACACCTTTGGCCCTGACAAGTGCTGGGTTGTGACACCTGCAGTTCTTGCAGGACAGCTGGGGAAGTGTCCTGCATAGGTACCTTGAACAAGCAGAGGACACTGGTCAGTTCCCTGGCTTTCCTGTTATCCCAGTGACCGTAGATGTCCTGTGAGGGAAAGCAGGGCTCCTGCGTCAGGCCTTGAGCTGATCCGTAGTAATGAGAGACCAAGCTGAGCCCTGGGGGGAGGAAACAGATTAGCTCACAACAACTGCTGCTACAGCTTTCTTGTGTATTCCTTGGAAACATAGGGTGCTAGCTGCTCTCAGAGCCAAGGCATGGCATCTTCATTCTCATGAACATCCCCTGAAGTGAACAGAGGCTTCAGCCAGCCTCACTGCTGTGAGGCAGTGCTGGTGCCTATCTGTGCTTCTGAAGACTCTAGAGGAGCAGTTTGCTCTTCACCTCATCCTTTGGGAAGCAGAGATGACATTTAGGAAATTGGGGCTTGAAGGGAGGGGAGTCTTGTGTTTAGAAGAGCTCACCTCAAGTCAGGAACCCCAGTCTTTGGTTCCCAGAGATGCTCCTGATTTGCTGGCTATCATAGGTGAGTCTTCCCCACTCATGCCACTTTACATTTCCCTTGTATTGAAAATGCAGCTATTTCCATGTCAGAGGTGTTATAAGAGGTTGGTTTGGTTTCCTGAAGCCTGCTGGGGTCTCCAGAAGCTGGTGCTGTCAAAGGATACACAACTTATTTTTAGGAGATCAGTACACCGCCAAGCCAATATTATTCCAATGTCCTAAGATCTATCACCTCATATGAGGGCTTGGCATCTTGCTGGCTAAACACCTTTGTCCTTGCAAAGACTTTGGGGGCATTTCCTTTACAGTTTTCTATTAGTCTCAAGTGGGGCAAGAGATAAGATCTTGTCAAGGATACCAGTAGCTCTGCAGTGTTCACTCCTTTAAGATGTGAGAGCTAGATGAATGCAGAATCACAGAAGTACAGTAAAGTCTCTCAACACTGTTTTTCCTTGGACTTTCACCAGGTTCTTTCAAAGCATCTGGCTCCATCTTTTCACTGGCTGCAGGATAAGTCTGACAGCCTCCAACACTCCAATGACAGCCTCCATCACTCTCAAGGTTGGAGCAGACCACAGCTGGACTTCTTGGTTGCATGGGAGGAGGTGTTGAGCTCACAGGGCAAGTTCTGCTGTCAGTGAGTGCTGAGATTGCACAGTGCCACCAGAAGCCAATTTTAAGCTGGTGAAACCAGAACACATGATGACTTCTGTTCAGCTCTTCCCTGTACATGCCACCTTCCTCCTTCTCTTATTGAGAAAAGAATCTGACATTACTGTCAGGGCTAAAAAAAAGTAAATAGAAGCAGAGCAAGGCCAAGTTCTGCAAGTCATAGCTGAAAGAGGAACATGCATGAGAAGCTACACACAAATGCAGGGTTATTCTGCAGCATCCCCCTCATGAATCTTCTGCACTCGAGCTTTCAGTGTGTCCTTTGTATGTGTCTCCACACATCTCCACGATGGCAGGTTTTACTCAGTTTTCTGGATATACTTGTAATTACTCCTTTATAATAATCTTCCAGGGTTTTCACACCTTTTACACAATTCTGTATGTGCTATGTTCTCCCTGTGCTGGGTCACGCTGTCTATCTGGGGCTTACTGTCTCTTTTCTGCATAAAATGCTCTGTATTCATTACTCTTACTTCCCCTTACACCCTTTCCCCATTTGAATCTTGAGGATGAAGGTGTGGGGAAGGGATCACATCTTACTGCTGCAGAGATTAGCTGGAGAGCAGCTCCAGAGATCTGTGCTGCAGCACAAGCATGTCCTGGGAGGCTACACCAGAGAAGTGTGATTTGCGTTGTTTCTGACTAAATTTGTCTCTTTGATGCAGTGACTCATCGTGGTGAGGTGGGTCTGGTGAATGACCTGCTGGCACCCAGGAATCTCTGTCTTTAGTGGAGAGCCCACCTCACCAGCCAGAAATCTCCTGCTTTTCTTCAAGACCATCTTTCCCTGAGCATCTTTTTACCAAGCGATACTCCCACACAATTGTTCCCCTAACTGCTGTGTAGGGAGATTATTTATGGCTCAAGTTGTGCTGAGGCCCCACCTCCCACGTCTCCAGGACAGGTTTTATCATGCTGTCATTTCTGTCTTCATCTTGACAGAGCAATGCTGGTGCAGGAGGAAGCCTGCGCACTGTGCAGGTGCTGCCTGTCCCTGGGACAGAGTTCACGGGGATTTCTGTAATAGCAGGTGTTCCTGGGGCATTACAGAAATATTTTGTTACAGGCCACTCTGAGGACCAGCACACAGCTTTTGACACCATCTTTCTGTACTTCTGGTCTTTCAAGTCTGTGCTCCTCCTGTGAGAGGGAGAGCATCAGGCAGCGAGCTGGGACACTGAGTAGGGCACTGGCAATTGGGCAGGCAGCAGCTATCCCTCACGTAGAGTGTACTTTGCACTGGTTCATCTCTCTGGTAAGACATTTTGCAGTCTGCCCTCTTCTAGAGTGCCTTTCACCCTGAAAAATCCTGCTGTGGTCCCACATGACTGCCCCATACAGGGAAGTTACAAGAGGCACAGAACAGTGCAGTTGTGCTCTCCCCAGTGCCAGGCTTGGAGGGGTGGGGCAGGGGGGACCTGATGGCAGGACCTCCAGTGCTGTCTTTTTACCCTGACTAAGCTGTAAAGCAGCATTTGTATAACAGACTGTCAAGGGAGGCTTTTTTCACTGTTTATCCTTAACCACCAGTCTGGTGGAATAACAGATAAGTGCATCAGCCCATTAAAGACTTGGCTTATGCTGCAGTGGCTTTTTTAATATACAGCTAGGAAGTGGTTGGGTGTTGGCATCAGAGGCAGAAGGCATTAATTAGAGCCATGTAGTTAAGTCTAGGCCCTGAGGGAACACATGCAACCTAATTGGTTGCCCTGGAGCCCTCAATGCAGAGATGAGGGGAGTTCATCTTCCCTTGCCGTCACTGGCACTCATCTCCTGCAGGGCTGGAGTTGCTATTTCCATGATACTTCCAGTGAGCCGGGTGAGGAGAACCCATCTGCTGCTGCAGTGACTGTCCCCACTTGCTAGACTACAGTGTGCCCTGAGTCTACAATACAGTTGCACCGACTTTGGCAGCAGTGGGACAGAATATGCCCTTCTGCCCTTGTGCTTAAGTACAAACTGCTCAGGAAACAGCTCTGACAGCCCTGCTAGGCTCAGAGGAGCAGTCCTGGGATGCACTGGGGTGTTACCCCCAGTGGAACTCGAGCTGCAGCTGCAGGAGAGGCACCTTTCCAGAAACTGATCTGAAGCAGATGCCTCTTGCAGGCACCAGCCCCTCCTGGAGCCACCTGGGGGAAAGAGCTCTTGTCTACCCCCTCTTCACCTGAATTTTATGTAAATGTATACAGTTGCTGGGACACTATGACATCTCAGGTTGATCTCTTCCAAGCAAGAAGTTCATCACTTGATAACACCCACATCCTTCTGGCCTTTGGGGGAGAAAAGTGGGTTGCAGGCTTACAAAGACGAGCCAGTATTGCAATACTGGCAATAGCTAGAAAACTCCTGGAAGCTGCCTGTTGCAGAGCCCAGGGGGCTGAAAAGGATGACAGGGAGCTGAGTGGACCCTAATGCAAGAAGAATGTGGTACCTGCAGGCAAGGACTGGAGGTGCTGAAGTACCCAAGTGATAGTAAAGTGATAATGCACTGCTGCCTAGTGCATTACACTGCTGGCTCTCTAGCTAAGCCCACTGGATTGAGGTTGTGCGGAAGCGAGGGAGACTCCTTGTCCCCTTCTGTTATATGCCAGAGGGGTTCTCTGCTCCCTCCTGTCCTGAACCAGCTGGGGAGGGATTCACAGCAGGGAAGGATCAGGACAGCCAGGACTAAATCATTCTCAAAGCAGGGCTAATGGCATTGCTGGCCACACCCACATATGTGGGCACATCTTTCAGAAGTTATAAGGCTGTGGGAAGGTGAGGGGGATATAGAGCGGGATGTGGTAGGGAGAGCAACAGCTACTGCTACTGCAGGGGAAATGGATGTTTTGGACAGAAACGTGTTTTCTGTGGATGGTCTGGATCTCCACTCAGGATGGTAGGAAAGGACCTCTCTCTTACCTTCTGCTCTCAGCAGGGCTGCCTGCAGGTGCTGAGAAGGCACAGATATGCTTGTTCTGATATGGACACACTGGGAAAGCTCTGAGCTCTTTCCACTTGGTTAAATTTGTCACTCTGGCTGTGGCTTAGAGAAAAGCCTTCCCTCTCCCCGCCCTCCTGCCATCAAGAAGCTGCTGAAGGAATCAGGTCGTTGATCCCGCAGCAGTGAGGCCCCTAATTAGCCCAGCTTCTTGGAGTCTGCCAGAAAAGCCGGCTGTGTGTGAGGCAGCTCTGAGACCCACGGTCCTCAGTGTGGAAGAGAGGGGCCCTGTGCAGGCAGAAGCCTGGAGAAGGAGAAAATGGCAGCACTTTGATGAATTAAATATGAGGAGAGCCTGCCCAGCCTGATGCTTCCTCCCCATGTTCCCATGCCTGGAAGGGGAGAAGGAGACACACTTTCTGGGTGACAGCAGGAGCAGGTGGGCATGGAGCTGGGCTGGCTGCAGGCAGGGAAAGCAGAAAGGAGAAGCAGCTCTTCCCAAATTCCTCTTGCAGGCATTATGTACACGTGAAGCCCCAGCTCCCTTGGGCTTCTCCTCTCACACACATTTAATAATGATTGCTGGTCTGGGTAATAAAGTGCTGTTTAATAGCAAATCGATCTGGCAACCTGTGCGAGCACCAGAGTGCTGGCTGCCAGTCCCAGTGGCTGCCACACACAGAGCCAGCACACTGGCAGCACAGTGGCCTGGAGCCCAGCCACAGCATCCCTCACCTTGGTACTCAGCTGTCCTATATGAGCTCTACTCACACATGCCGCTGGTGACAGCAGAGCCCACGCACCTAAACAGGATATAAATGACGGGTGTTTTTGCCCCCTTGTAGCTAGGAGTGGTTTTCTGAGACTGGCATGGCATTTACCATCCTTGGGGTGCCGTGACACTGTGATATCAAGTCCCTGGTGTCTTGAAACACCTTGGCACCCATGGCTGTGGTGTGCTTAAGGTGATGACCTTTGGAGAGATAAATCCCTGGCACAGAGCCTGTACTCTAAGGCAAGGACCAGCAGCCTGGGGATGTTGGCCGGTGGCCTAGGCCCCATGGCAGCTTTTGTCCTCTCATCCTTGTGGTTCCCAAGCAGTGGTGGAGCACATGGGAGCCCGTATCCTTTGGCACAGGGCCCAACACACAGGGCTGTGCATACTCACGCATGAGGACACGTGCCGGTGGCCCCATAGTAACTTGCACGCTGCTGAGCAGGGACGTGCCCTGCGTGCCGATGTGCACACCGATAAGCGCAAATGTGGACACGAGGACACTGGAACACACACGCCGACGTACGGGGTCGCACCGCCAGCGAAAGAGGTTCACACCGGCACACGGGGGTGTGCACACCGGCACACGGGGATGTGGAGGATGCTACACGGAGGGGGTGGACCCGCCCTCCCGCAAGGGGACCCGCACCCGGCGGCGGCGTGGGTTCGGCAGCGGCTCCTCGCGTGCCGGTGCCACCGCGCGGGGCGGGGCGCGGCGCCCGCGGGTTTCCCATTGGCCGTGGGGGCTGTCAGCGGGGCGGAGTGACAGCCGAGGGCCGGGATTAGCGCGGCGGGGAGGGGCGTGCTGCGGCCGCTGGCACCATATCGGACCGGACCGGACCGTGCTGTGCTGTGCTGTACCGTACCGCAGCGCACCGCGCCCGACAGGCCGAGCCGAGCCGAGCCGAGCCGGGCCGGGCCGGGCCGGCGGTATCGCGGAGCAGCGGCGCGCAGCATGCGGTGGCGGCGGCGGCACTGCCGGTGAGGCGCGGGGAGCGGAGCGGAGCGGGGCGGGGCGCGGAGGGGACCGGAGGCTGGAGTGGGGCGTCAGGGGAGCGGGGAAAGTTGCAGCAGTTGTTGCGGGGACCGGGGCGGCTCTGCGTCCCTCCGGCAGCGGTGACCGGCGGGCGGCGGCGCGGGGCTGCGGTGGCACCGGTGGCAGCCGGCGGGGCCGAGACACCCCCATCCCCCGCCGCTGTCGCGGAGCGTCCCCGGTGTGCCGGTGCGGCGGGACGGGTGCGGAGCCGCTGCCCGGGCAGGGAGAGCGCGGTCGGCGGCGCCGCGGGGGGAGTGAGCGAGCGGGAGACTCCGCCGGCCCCCTGGCCGGGGAGGCTCCCTCCTTATCCGGATGGATGTCACATCCACTCAGGGCTGATCCCGCCGAGACGGGAGGTGCCGGGCGAGGGAGGCCGGGCGGAGGGTGGCCAGGGAATGAAGAGCATGCTCAACCTTAGCTCAAAGGGGGGGGCACGTCCCCTGCCTAAACACCCCATCACGAAGGGGTCCCCTGTTTGCCCTACAGCCCCGGACCGCCAGGCACCCCGTTTCAGTCACCACTGCATCCCCTGAGACTGCTCCGTGTCCCTCCGGAGGGCAGAGTCATCTCTCCGCGGCCATCCCGCCCTAGCCCCGCCAGGTGGCCCGGCAGCCACAGCCTGGTTTCGCCAAATACGGCCCGTCGTGTGAATTCAGCCCCCAGCCCTGCACCTCTTGCTTTTGTCCCATCTCTATCCCGTTCTTTGCCCAATCCCCTCTCATCCTCCCCCAGCGTTGTCCCCACACTCCCGTGGCGTGGGTGTGCTCTTCCCCCGCAGCGTAAGCAGTTCCTACTGGTGCTGCCTTCCCACCGCATCGCTCCGCCAGGCAAGCGCCTGCAGGGGGACCAGCCATCCCCTGTTGCACCGGTTTCTGCTCAAAGTGAGGGCCAGGAAGCATCCCTGGACTTCCCTTTGGTCGCTAAGAAGGGACAGCAAGGAGGAATAAGTTCCTTGTGAGGGAGATGTTTTATTGAACAAATTAAATCCCCCAGTGATGTGCAGCTCCCAGCCATCACACTACAGCTCCCGAGTTTTCCTCTTTGAATGCATGCCCAGGGTTGTTCAGGCACACAATCTGTGAGCTTTCATCTGCAGAACTTCTCCTGCCTTTAGGCAGCAGGACCAGCAAGGCTCCCTCCAGCCCACTGGTGCTTTACAGCCCAACCCATTCATCACAGTGATTTAAAAAGCATCCATTCAATGCACAACTGAAATCAGCAAGCAGGAAGCCTTAGCTCCATCATCGTTTTTTCATCTCAGTTGCATTTGTGCTTTTAACCTTTCATTATTAAAGAAAAGCTCACTCAATGGTGTAGCCATCCAGCTTCAGTGGGTCAAAGGTAGGCATGGCCTTTACTCAGAATTTGATAATTCTTTAATAACCAGAACGACACTCTGGTTATCCTATTTATTCTAGTAATAACTCACATGCATTTAGATAGGCTGGTTTTTGTAGGTTTGTTATGTTACAGTGAGTGCAAACTATTCCAAGTGATAAGTTTTTTCCTTGGCATTTGTGTCAGTCTGCATTGAGATAAAAAGTGGAGTTTCATTTGAAATATATAAACCCTGCATCTTTATTATTTATCAGTTAAGTTCAGCAACCTTGAATGTGAACACAACCATAACAGGAGAAAAAGATTTTAAAAACAGTAACTGATAAATTAAACAGGAGAGTATATTTTTGCAGTGAGTGAAGTAAGAGATTGTTGCTGCTCAGCAGGAGACAGATTTTTTAGCAATGTGATAGTGCAGATAGATGAGCGCCTGTCCCAAAGGTGTGATTTGGGCTATTTTATTAAGAGTTATGTCTCTGCATCTTTGGAGCCTAAACACTGTGGGAAATTGAGCCCCACATCCTTTAGGAATTTTATCCTGTCTGATTTGCACTCAGAAATAGGGAGAAGAATCATGTTTTCCTGTTTGCAGCTGACACTTGGTTTCTCACTTTCAAATAGTGAGAGTGAAGGACTTAGTTTCTTGGCATCTGTCAGAAGGCAAAAACAGCCAAGCAGAGTCTTCTCTGCACATTAAGAATTCTAAGAAACTCAGGGGAGGATAAGTACAAGTTTTAGCACCACTGGGAGAAAGAAAAATGTCAGCACCGGGGCTGAGAGGGACTCCGGGTCCTGCCTTCCCCTGCAGCCACCCCATTGCTGTGGCGTGTCTGGTCCCATCTCTGGATAAATGGTCTCTGGGCAAGAGACAGGCAGGCAAGTGAGCTGTATGCAGGGCAGGCATGCCTTGTTCCCCCAGGCTGAGATTGTCCGTAACCACTGCTTTTTGGATCTACTGGTGTTGACAGCTCTGTCTGCGCCACCAGTAGTGGCTGCGGCATGTGCTGGTGTGACACAGTTTAAACCCAGGCTGACCTCCAAAGACAGAGACTCCTTGCCCTTGCTGCTCATGTTAAACTCATTGAGCAAGTGTAATCGGAGGATGTCTCCGTGATCCAGTATATAATTTTTTTTCCCCCTTATTGTAGTGATTTTAGTAAGCTATAGGCTGTGGGAAGTAAATATATAAATATATTCAACCTAAAGCAGTATAAATGAAACCCATTTTATAGTATGTTCTCTCACTGTGTCTGGGGTGCTGGTCTGTGGGGTGTCTGAGCATTCTGGCACCCTGGGGAGAAAGCATACACTCTGGGTGCCTGGGGCCAAGCAAGGGACTGCCAGTGACTCTGCAGTGATGCTGGTGTGATGCCCTCAATGAACCTTGCCTGCTTCTTGCATTAGGAGGGGACTTGCCAGGGACTATGTCAACTGGATCACATCTTGCTCCTGCCGCAAGGACAGGGCCACTTTGGCCTGTCCTCCCCATAGCCCCAGACTCTTTCTTGTGCCTTCCCTTCCCTAACCAGCTCTCCTCACCCTTGTTTCAGGGCTGCCTGAGGATGCATCGCCTCTCAACTTGGACATCTCAGAGCTGCTGGGAACCTGCCTTGCTGTGCCACCCTGCTGTGCTCCAGACTTGACACCTCTGTGCCCTCTTCCTGCAGGATGGCCCAAGCGGGGGGACCTGTCCGCTTCCACCCCGAGGAGGGCTGTGCTGCCTCACCCCCGCCATTTGCCCACAGGGTGAGCCGGAGACCTTGGCTGGCAGGGGGGAGCCTCGATGCTGGGCGGCACAGCCCCCCGCCCTGCCTCACCCCCAACCTCAACGCCGGCCGCCTCCACCTGCTGCGCAAGGGCCTGGCGCCTGATACCCGCCGCTGCCCCCTCGGTCTGTACAGCAGCACCGGCTCTTTGGCCCGCAGGCCGGCCGAGGCGGCACCCTTTGGCAATGGGAGCTGCGCGGGCACAGGGCGACTGACTGCCCCCTGCACCCCACGGCGGGGCCGGCCTGGCCCAGCCATCGCCTCCCTGGGCAGACGCAGCCCACCAGTGGCGGCAGCCCCGGAGGGACACAGCTCTGTCGTCACCTTCCGCTTCATTGAGAAGGCCAGTGTGCGGACCCTAGGGAGCCCGACAACACCCCATGTCCGCTGGGAGAATGGTCCCTACAGCCTCAGCCGCAGCCTGGAGCTCACTGGCGACATGGGATCCCCCCAGCCCCAGACCCTGCCCCAGGAGCGGCTCCTGCACACACTGAAGCTGGAGGCCTCCGCATCTGACCCGCTCCTGGCCGGGGGCCAGACCCCAGGGGAGATGCGTCCCTGTGGGAAGGAGTTTTGTGCCATCAACACCAGCTGCCTCTGCCGATCCCTCACCAATGGGCTACCAGAGGAGTTCCCCACCTTCTCCAGAAGTCCCCTGAAGCCAGAGCCCCGTCCCCAAGTAGGTACAGGGGTACCCCACGCTGGGCACAGGGCTCTGCCCTGGGGATCCATTGCCCACTCATCTCTCTTCCCTCTGCAGGGCAACGCTTGGCTGTACCCCCGGCAGAGCTCGGCCCATGCCCAGCGCATTGCCAAGGCCAAGTGGGAATTCTTCTATGGCTCCTCAGATGCCCCAAAGACAGGTAAGAATTTGGAGGGGGATGCCCTTGGCTGCACCCACCCCTCCTTTGCAAGTCTGTATTGCTGCCAGGAGTCTCCCTGGGGCTGCCCATCCCAGGGGGCTTCTCAGTGCCTTCTCAGAAAGCCAAATCTCCCCCAAGACTGGCCAGTCTGTGTCCTCCTAAGGCCAGATTCTGCACACAGCAACCTCCCTGCAGAGTCCCCTGTGGCCATGCAAAGGAGATACCAGAGCCCATGGCTGCTTCTGTAGAAGGGCTTTTGGGTTCAAAAGGGGGCTAAAGGTTGGCTGTGGATCCACTAGCCCTGACAGCAGCCTGTCTCTGCCTCTCACACTCTTTTTCCTTCTGTCTCCCCATCACTGTTCCCCAGTGCACATCACATAGTGGAGTCACCATCCCTGGAGGTGTTCAAGAAATGATTGGAGATGGCACTTAGTGCTGTGGTTTAGTTGACATGCTGAAAAAGTTGGGACGTTTTGATGTTGGCAGGAGGATCAAAGGTTGGACTTGATGATCTTGGAGGTCTTTTCCAACCTTAATAATTCTGTGATGTGTCATGAACGGCACATGAGCTTTTGGTGTGTGTGTCTATGTGATGCTGCAGGAGTGGCTCCTCAGAGCTCTCCAGTGCACTTCCCATGGCTCTGAATGCTTGGGCCTTCCTTGCAGGCTCTTCTGCCTCCGACTCCACCCCCTTGGCTGAGTCTCCCCAGAAGCCTGTCTCCCCACTGCCTGCCAAGCCACCAGTGTCAGTACCTGAGCACAGTCTGAGCCATGTGGAAGTGGAGATAGAAGTGTCTCCTCTGGGCAGCCAAAAGCCTGGGTCCTGTGAGACTGGGATTATAAGGAGGACAGTGAAGTACTCCGAGACAGACTTGGACACTGTTCCACTGAGGTGCTATCGTGAAACAAACATCGATGACATCCTGGCCGAGAAGGAAGAGGTGGATTCAGCAATTGAGAGCCAGAAGGACAGTGAGAGCAACCCAAGCTTTGGGGGCACTCCAGGCAGAAGGAACAGCACACCAGAGGAGCCCCCCACCCCAGGCATTGGCTGCTTGAAGGATGGGCTGCGGGACAGGGACGTGGACGTGGATGAGGACAATGAGGTGGTTGCGGCAATGAAGAGGGAGAACAGGGAAAGGTGAGGCTCCGTGCGTGAGGGCAGAAAGTTCCGCTTACCCTCCTTATTATATCCTGCATGGCAAAATGGGCTCTGCCAAAAAGCGTCTCACACAAAAATCCCATTAGCTCCATGCAAGCTGTGTGTGGGGGTGAGATGGGATTCCTGGATTTCACCTCTGGGACTGGAGCTGGAGCTGGGGCTGGGGCTGGGACTGAGAGGGGGCCCTTACTGCCCTATGGAAAGAGTAAGGCAGCACAGGTGATCCAGCCCTGGGCACTAGGCTCACTCCTGGGTGAACCCTTGCAGCTGAGGTTGCCTGGCTGAGTCAAGGCTTCCCAGTGGGTGCTGCTGGACTACCCTACTCTTCGCATATGACTGTGCTTCAGTGGCAGGAGCAGTCCCATTTGCTTGGCCTCAGTAAGTATTTGCCATGTTTGGGAAAGAGTAGGGGATACATTTGGATGCAAATAGCCTTTTTTTGCCTTTTGTATGATTTTTCACATGTGTGGCAAAACACCCTGTGCTTGGGAGGCCGATGGAGTGGGCGATACTAAGGTTGTCATTCAGTTGCCTGCCCCTGGGCAGCAAGTGTGCTCCAAACTGCTGTCTGCCCACTGCCAGGCAATCAGGACCTATGAGAGGTGGCCCTTTGCCCATGGACTTTCCTCTGGAGTGGTGGTTTGACCATGAGAAATGACAGGCATCATCAGGTGGATACCCGCCCCAGAGCACTGTGTGGGAAAGACACCTGGAGGGGAAAGACCCTGGCTGGGAGTAGGAGATGCCTGTGCAGGCAGCAGCAGCCAAAGTCATCTCCTGACATGTGTTGTCAAAGAGTCTTGAGTGAGGTGAGGAGGCTCAGCATCATTGGCAAGTGCTCCATGGGAGTGGGGAGAAGTTTCATCTGGGAAGCACAAAACCAGGGTGATGCTTGGGATGCCGCATGGCAGCATGCACTCACCCAGCTGTGCAAAAGGTAGGTAGGGGGCATATAGGTAGAAGAAAAGGAAGAGGGAGGTTTTGATGTTGCCATGAGGAAAAAAAAAGAAAATATAACCCTCAGTGGTGCTGCTGCACTGGAAAGGAAAAAAATGAAGGTGCTTAGCTGACCAGGACGGAAGGTGCACATCCCAAGGACAGATAGGTTCCTGTCAGTTTGTCCAGCCTTTGCATCTCTGTTGGAGGGGACAGATACATCTTTTCCTGCTATCTAACCTGTCCTCAAAACATTTGAGTTCTAGAGAAAAGCTGAAAATAAGCCATTGTAATGCACTTCTTTTTCCAAATGATGTTTTGAGTAAGATGTAAAGTTATTACCACTGCAAGCGAGTTCTTCAGGTTGCTGTAACAATTATCTTGCATAGTGGTATTTTTTTTCCAAATATGTACTAGACTGCTATGAGCTGGATGAGCTGTAAGCCTAGACCTGCTTTTTGTCCTCTGAGGCACCCTACTGCAACTCCCCAGGCAGTGCTGAAAGCTTGGATGTGTCCTTATATGCATTGTTGCTCCTAAAAGATAGTGCTCCTGGTGTAATTACCAATCTGTATATAGTGATGTCATGTTCGTTTTGCACGGCTTCTTTGTAGACCAGTGGGGTGTTTTTACTCTGCAGCCCACTGAATATTCCCCTGGTAGGTGCAGACCCTGTGGGCAGTGTCTTGAAAATTATGAGGCTCAAATTGCGAGCTTGTTCAGTCCCTGCATCACAGCCCTGGATTTTTGCTTACACACTGTTTTGAGCTCTGCAGCTGCAGTCCTCATCCCTGTTTACCAGTCACCAGTATTGATGTTTTCTACTTCAAGCTTTCTGCTTTGCTTGCTCACAGGAGCAGTGAAGTTGGGGGAGTGAAGGAGCCCCCCTGACTCCCTGGACCTGGCACCATTCTGCCACTGCAGGAGCTGCTGAACTTCAAGCCTGTCTTGGTAGCTGGGAAGGGCCAACCTTACAAAATTATTGAAGCACCTCTGGATGCTGATTTTCAGCTTTTAGATATGTACATCCATTTGACTACCTAGCTCTAAGTGTTTAGCACCTTCTGAAAGGGGAACTTTGGCTTGATACTATCTTGTTGTATTTAGTATTCTGGCCAAAGGTCAGAGTCTCCTTTGGTGGTTTACCCTCCCAAAATAAGAAAGCATGCTAATAGCAAAAATAATCCAACACCAAATCAAACAAGGCATGAAAAGCAATGGAAAAAATGGTGTCTTCTTCCAGCAAATCTGCTCTCTGAATATATTTAGAGTCAGATCTACTGACTCTAATAACTAGTTTAAGCCTTTACTGTCTTTATTCCCATTAGTCCCAGAGAGCCAAGACCTGTGAGTGAGAGCAGGCTCAATTCCCTTCCTCCCTGAGCATCACCAGACGTGCTGGCTAAGCTGTAGGAAGAACCTGGCTTGGACTGCAGTGTGGGTGCCTTGGGCTGATAAGAGAGAAGAGGCTTTGCTACAGGATGCCCCTGTCTCTTGAGAGCACAGAGGGCTGATGGGAGGCAGTGATGCTTTTTCTCCCTGCAAGTAGAGCAGCTTTCCCCAGGAAAGCCCTTAGATCTGCTACTTGGGGAGCCTTTCCAGAGCCTTTGTGCTCACTGCTTAGTGGCAAAAAAAGAGCTGCAGGGCAAGCCTTGTTGGGGATTAAAAAATGGTTATGGCCTCAGTTTCATCAAATGTTTAAGTATATGCTTAACCTACCTCAGTAACCACTCTGATGTGTTTTGCTGAGGCTGAGCCTTTGTCTCAGAGTCCAAACTCGCCACAGAGTCACTGATCAGGGTGATGCTCCTGCATCCCATGGGCTCAGTCTGGAGGGGGGATGCTTGGGGTGATGCTGACAGGCACATGCCAATGAGCAGGAGAAGTGCCTGCAGCTCTTGGGGAAGGACTGAAGACAGTGTGACGGCATGGATATGGCAGGGGAGTGTGTACAATCAGGGGGAGACTGCAGTGCCTGTGGTCAGTGCCTGAGCATGGGACAGAGTTAGGACACTGAGCCCTAAGAGCAGGCTGCTGCCACGCTGGAGAAGTGCAAAGGAGCCTGTGGGGAGTGCAAGGAGATGCTGGGGCTGGTCTGTACACGAGTTTTTCTCTGAGAGGAATAAAGCAAAGAGCTGCTTGATGGTGCTGTACCTTCTTTGAACTGAGCTAAGATCCCCACACAGTCCCTGCTGTGCCTGTGCAGGCTGGAGGAGTGGAGCATAGTGGGGGCAGTCAGCAGTCTGGAGGGTCACAGGAGCATTTGGCAGAGAGTGAAAAACACTGAGGGCCAGAGGAGAGATTTTCCCCTTCTTCCCCCTGCCAGGGACAGCACAGCTCTGCAGCACCAGACGGGGAGGGCCAAGCGAGCGCCTTCCCCTCCATCAGCTATCAGGTGCAATTGGAGAAACCCGGTTGCTCAGATCCCTGTGGTCCCCGTATGCAAACCTTTGCCTGAGGTGCTGCTGGCTTTGGCACTTACATGCAATGCAGTAGAACCATCAGCTCCCAGCATCCGCTTCCCCTCTGTATCTGCCTGGCCCTCTTCTAAGGAAGGCTCACTGCTCCTCCCACACCAGCTCATGGCTGGAAACCTATTCTATTTCGCACTGCCCATCACCCTTGCACAGATGCTCAATTACAGCTTGTTAATCTCCTTCTTTGCTCTCCTCGTCCCAGCTGTGTTTGTCTGGCTTGGTGTCAGTGTACTGGCCCCTCCTGGGGACCAGAGCAGAGCATGGAGGGACTGGGCAGCACAACAGGGGCTGATGAAGCATCTAGGTCTGAGCAGGCAGCATTGCACATATGCTGCTGTGACTAGATCCTTCTGGAGCTGAATGGCTTTGTGCTTGATATTTCAAGGTGGAAAGATTGCTTCCAGAGCTTGGATGATGTGGACAAAACCACCTGTGGTTTTTCTGTGGCTTGGTGGCAGTATACTTGATTACAAGAATGAGCCCAGCTCCCTCTCCTGGGAACAAGGTTCCTTCTGTCTGCTGGCACTGTCTTCCCTGGCACAGCCCAGTCACCCTCTTTATGGATTTGAGGTGCAGAACAGTCAGCAGCATTAGCTTGGTTTAGTAGCGTGCAGCTGGGTGTGGGGGATGGTGAATGCACATTCGCATCCGTAAAACAGGTCTGTAGATGTTAAAGAGGTCTCTTCTGCCTTGTCCTGCCAGAAAGCCATCTCAGAGGTGGCTGCTCCTGGGGCTTCTACAGGAATGGTAAGAGCGTCAAGTGGTGCTGCGCAGCCACGGAAATGCTGGTGGATGGGTGAGATCAGCCTGCACCCTGCCTTGCTTACCTGTGTCTGGCTTTGCTGCACTCCTCTTGAAGCCAGCTGGCACTCTGGGGGAGTCAAGCTGCCAGCTCTTGGCCTGCTGAAGAAATCAGGGTGAGATTTTTGAGCAGCATGTAAAGGCTAATGAATGAAAATCATTTGGTGTGTGTAACAGCAACACATCTTCTGAGTCCTCTGTATGAAGCTGTTTGTTCATAACAAATGTTATGACAGGCTGGAGCAGTTCCTCTCCTTTAATCAGAGGAACGAGTGGCATAACAAGTGCTTTTCCGCTGCTTTAATATAATGATAGCGGCTTATGAGTAAAGTAGGTTTTAGGGCTGTGTTTGTGCTTGTACAGCTGAAGCACTGATGTTCCCTGGGTTGGAAATGTCCCTGTTGTCACGTGCTCAGGTGGGTGGGCAGGCTGCACTTCACCTCATTTACAGGACAAAACACTCAGGGTTCCAGGCTTTAGAAACTCCTGTGTTGGGCTGGACCCAAACCAGCATTGGAGAGAGGCTTGGCCTTTCTGTGGGTCTGACAAGATGATGAGCCAAGACCAGGCCTGGCATCTAGGACATGGGCCAATTCAGATCCCCAAGCCCAGAAATGGGTGTGAGGCTCCCTCTGTACTGCCTAGGGAAACCTGGGGCTCAGTATCACTTTGTGCTTAGTCCCAGATGTCTCCTGGGACTCAACCTCACCTTATGATGGGTCCAAGACATCTCCTGGAACCAGCAGCAGACCTTGCAGATGGGTGTTGGTTGTGCTCTGAGCAAGGCGCTCAGTGACCACAGTGCAGTGTTCATGGAAGAAGGTGTCACACTATGCTGAGCAGCTTCGGGAGGAGCCTTCTGGGTACTGGAAACTCTGAAGGCTCATGAAAAATTCAGCCACTTCCAGATTTGGTTGGAAATGGAGCTGAACCACATCCTGCTTCTGGTACTTGAGCCCTTTATTGGATCTAAGCTCAAGCCAAGTGATTGGGAGCAGTAGCCATCTCATAAGCTTCTTATGAGGATGAGCCACTATAAGGAACAAAAGTCTGTGGTGCATTAAAGGAGAAGCATATGTCTGGAGGGAGGCCAGCCCAGTCCCTCTTCCCATGATGTCTTGGGTAGGTGAGGCATTTCCTTGGTGGTCTACAGATGTTCAGAAGAGATTTCTGCCCTCCTCAGTTTCCTTCTGGAGCAGCATGTGGGCTTTTGTTTCAGGGCTTTGATGCCTTGCTCCTCAATGATCAGTTCTTCTCACTTTCTTTCCCTCTAGGATCATGGATCGAGACACACAGGGTATGCTCAAGTCTCCAGTGCCCTTCCTAGGGCACAGCCTCTCCAAGGATGGCATGGACTCCTTCAGCAAGCATTTTGAGACCATCATGGAGTCCCATCGAGCCAAAGGCACATCTTACACTAGTCTGGACTCCATTGATATCCTTTCCTCCCCAGCCCGCACCCATGGGACCTTTTTTACTTTTGACCTCCCAACCCTCACCCCAGAAATACAGGGACAAATCCGAGACAGCGCCAAGCTGATTGAGGAGAACTTTGCTCCTCTGGCTCATTTGGAGCCAGACTCTGGGACCAGTTCAGCCACAGATGCCCCCTGGACAGAGAGGGAGGAGGAGCAGGGGAGAAGACGGAAGGGTGCTCGGCACAGCCCTTGCCACTCAGTGGACAGCTTTGGTACTCCCTTGGCCTCCAACACGAGGTGAGTGACCAGAATTGCTTGCTGTCCAGCTGGACCACCAAGGCTTGATGTGGAGCCTAATGCTGAGGTCTGTTTTGCAGCCAGAGTCTAACCTCTGTTGTTGGAGAAGTGTCAGGACTGTGTGTGCTGGATTTTCTGGGCAGTGGCTGATCAAGCCAGTGATCACCATGATGTTGTGGTAGGCATGTTGATGGGAACACAACTCCTTCTTCATTTTTGCCAGCTTTTCAGGTGCTAGAGTGCTGTAAGGTTTCCTCCAGGCAAGCAAACAGGGAGTCCCAGGACTTCAATCCTGTGGTGGTTTCCATTGCAGGACAGTCCGCCATCCACGGTGGCTGTGGGGAGAGGCCAGTCAGAAGTTAACTACCAGTAGAAATTCAACAGCCTTTCCCTGGTGGGGACTGTGTCCCTTGCCATCTGAATAGCAGCCTCTTGTTTCTTGAACTATTGTCCTGGCCTCCTGAACCTCCTCAGCCTTGTTTATATTGGGAGATGAAGGGCAGAGATGAGCACAGCCCACCAGAGGCTCCCTGTACATTGCTCCAAGCTTGTGTGCAGCTGGGCTCAGGATGGCTGCCCTGTGCCTGGGGAGATCTCTAGTGGAGTGGGCTGGGGTAGCTCAACCCCACCACTTCCAACCTGTCCCTGTGTGAGTCCATATCCAGGCTGACACACCTTCCTGCACTCCTCCCACTTCCGGCAAAGTCTTGTGCTGAGGCACCTGTGATGTGGCAGTTTGATAGGCTGCATCTTTTCCACACTCATCTGGAGTGTGGACAGGTCTGGTTTGGATGTCAGATCTGGTCCAGTGGTTTAGCTGCAGAGTTGGTGGCTATTGGAGTAGCTGGTGTCTCATTCATGCCATTGCTGACCTTCCTGTTTTCATTGCCTCCCTGTAAGGTCTCTCTGCCCAGTGACTTTTTGTGCAATGCCAGAGCATCCTGAATCCCTTATCTACTTTCTAGGCTTAGGCTGTGGTCTTTTCCACACCAAAGTGATGTCACTTCTTGTCACAGTCTGTGCCATCCTTGTAGGCTTAGGTTTGTGCTGTAAAACTGGTCATTTCTGGGAGATACAAGGCAGCGAAGGGTGGCAGTATCCAGCCACAGTCAGTGCTCTCTGCAGGAAGAATTGGCTTCCTATTTCTCTGCCAAGGCAAGGGACTGAAACAGAGCACCCTGGAGAAACTGAGAGGAAGTATCTGACTTACTGTCCACGGGATGCCTTTGTACCACAGCAACAATGCAACAGGGGACGGAGAGATGTGAGAGTGCAAAGACACAGCTGGCATCAGGGATGACAATGAGGTCACTTAGCAGAGGTTATTCCTCACTGGTTTATAGTCAGTGGAGCACAGAGCATGCTGGCAGTGCTGAGGACGCTGCAGCACTGTGTCTCCCTCCTAGCTTAGGCTTCAGAGCAGTGCTGGGCACAGGCTACAGAGAGATATTGTGTATCCCCCAAGCTGCCCTATATCTTTTCTGAGCCCACTTTTGCTGAGCCTCTTGTCTTCTCCTGTTCCAGCAGGACAACCTTTGGTGGCAGGGGAATGCAGGGGAAACCCAGCTGCAGCCCCCACTGTGCTCCCTGGCCTGGGAACTCCGAGGCTTGGGCTTCCCATTGTACCATAAGCTCCAACCTCACGTCTGTTACACATGCCCACAGAGTACCAGGCAACTATCTTTCCCCATTTAGAAACAATTCCCTTGGTTATCAGTAAGTCCCTGCATAGCTCTTCATTTTGTCCGTTTCAGTCCCTGTTTCTTACCAATCTCATGGGCTACAGGTGATGTTCAGACCCACCATGCTGCCCTGCAACAGCTGAGCCAGTGCCCTGGCTCCACTAGAGGCTGCAGGAATGATGATGAGAAATGAGAAGTGTGAGAACAGGGCCCAGCAAGGAGCAGCCCAGCTCTCTGCTCCCCGGCATGGAGTGAGCCTCCCCTCACAGTACCCACAGGCAATTGGGAGAGAGGCAGGTGTGGTTGGGATCTGCCATCTTGTGCACTGGAAATGAGTGGAGATTGGGACTGGGAACAGGAACTAGGCTGGGAAGGCATGTGGCCCCAGGGGCTGAGACAGCTCATCATCTGCAGGGTCATTACTCAGGACGTAGGGCTTTCTGGGAAGAGAGAGGTCTAAGAAGTTTCCTCTTCCACATCACTGGTGCCATCAACTTTCTAGACTCTGAGTGGAGCCGACCACAAAGTTGAAGCTTCCCACTTAGTTTGAGGGAGAAGTGTCCGTACTGATTGCTCAAAGGTTCTCATGAGCTGGAACCAGCAGATCCTGATGCCTGACAAGGCTGATCTTCTCGAGCAGGTGTCCTTGTAATGCTCCAACTAAGGGGTAGTTGATGGAAATTGCTGAGGAAAACTAAGGAACCTCTGCAGCCATTGTTATGCAACATTACCTGTGCCAGCAGGGCCAGAGCAAGGCATTTGCCACTGCCCAGGGTCACTGCAGGGTCACAAGCAGTTCAGACTGACTGCCACCAGTGCAGATGCGACCCCAGGCAGGGGGACTCTGCAGTGGAGACTGTGCTTTACACTGTCTATCAGTCTCAGGGTTGGCAGAGGTGACCTCAGCCTGCAGGGCTGTGGTATGAGTGATGTGGTGACTGGTGATGAACACCAGTAGGTCTGGGCCTGTGCTGCCCTGCAGTTGTCCTCCTTGTGCCCCCAAAATCTTTGATGTTAATTGTTGCAATGCTTGCGGTTGGGGTCTGGGCTGGAGATGGCCCTGCATCCTGTGACTTTTTGCCTCTCTTGGTGTCAGGGACGGCCAAGTCAGTGATGCCCCTGCATTACTGGGGATGTGTGGTGTCCCCTGCAGCCAGTGGCCTTGGTTCATGCAGCCTTGTTGCTCACACCAAGGCTCTGATGTCCCTCGGCACACAATAATCTGAGACCATGCTTTTATCTTGACCTTGTATGTGGAAAGTGCGTCTAAGCGCAGACCCAGAGATGCCTCCCTGGGTGCTGGGATGCATGCACCTACTGCAGCAGGCTAGATTGAAAAGTAGGGAGCAATGGCTGAACACTCTCCCCACCCAGCCCCCGGCGGGACACCCCACAGTGGTGGGCACACCCCAGCGTGGAGCAGAGGCTCTGTGAGTAGTTTATCACCCCTTTTTGGGCAGGGCTGAGCAGAGGGCTGCACTTAAAGCAGTCTGTTCCTGTGGCTATGACACTGACCCACAGAGCATGTGTGGAGGCATAACCCCCCCCAGGGCTGGGAGGTCCCTCCGGCCAGGTGAGGCTGGCCAGGGACAGATGCAGTGCTGGAGAGATGTCGGGGCGGGAACGGGCGGGAGCCGGGAGCAGCGCTGGGGACTGCAGGAAGTCGCTTCTGTGGTGGCAGCCGGACTTCTGCAATTGCAGGTCCAAATTGCAAGACTTGGCCAAGCTGCCGGGTGCAGGCTCAGAAAATCACCTGGCTTGCCCAGTTCTGTGCACGGGCTGCCGGCCCACGGGCAAGGCGATGCGGGCTCTGGGGCGTGAGCCCCAGAGGGATGTAAATGGGCAAACTGCACCTCTCTGAGGGTGCAAGCCCCCTGAAATCCAGCTGCCCAACTTCCATCGCACTCCCCTGGAGCCAGCCTTGGCCCTGGCACAGCCGTGCCGGACCCTGAGGGGTGCCCGGGGGTGGGGACGTGACACGGCCCCCGAGCGGGACAGGCTCTGCCGGGGCCTCATCGGGGCACGCCTGCTGTGGGACAGGAGGAAGGGCAGGCAGGAGAGGAAGCATCAAAGACGGGACTGCAAACCCCCTGGGGAAAAGGGCCAGGCAGCACGGCGAGGGGCAGCACGCCCCGAGGCTCGCTAGAGGGAGAGCTCAGCCCTGGAGCTGGAGCTGCGGCTGCGGGGGAGGAGCGGGGAGCCCGCGGGGCTGGGGCTGCCCCGGGCGGAGGATGCGCCGGCACTCAGAGCTGCGTCCCTGCCAGACCGTGTCCGCTGGCGAGTGCCGGAGCGCGGGGCCTGCCAGACAGCTCCGCTGCCGTTCTTTATAAGGTCTCTTTTGTTACTGCAGCGCTCGGGGAGCCGGTGCCCCACCCGGGGCCAGCGCAGGTCTGTCATCTGGCCTGAGCTCCCTGGTGGCACTGGGCAGACTGGTGAGATGGTGCACTGAAGGGCTGTGCCCAGTCTGGGGCCCCGTGGGGTGGATTCAGGGTGTTATGCGGGAGGTTGAGGGTGAGAGCTGGGCAGAGGAAGGAGGGCAATGAGGAAAGCACGGAGATAGGGGAAGGAAGGTATGGGGTGGGCTGGGGATCACAGGAGGGGAATAAGTCTAGAGAACAGAATGAAGAGTTCTCTCCACAAGCACTGGCACAGCAAGAAATGAAGCACAAGCCGGGGGGGGGGATTTTCCCCCATGTTGAGCCATGAAGGCCAGCAGGAGCCAGGACATAGGGCACATCAGCCCTCCATGGCATAGAGGATGGGGGCAGTGGATCCCAGGGATGGCAGTCTGCCTGCAGAGGCATGAGCAGTAGCACATACCTGTGGGATGCAGCCCCATGTGTCAGGTGTTAATTCAAGTTTTTGGACCTGACTCAGAGCCCCTAGGCTGGGCTTGGCCCAAAAGTCTGAGAGGCCCAGGTTTTCCTGCACTGACCCCATGGCATCTGTGTCTCTGAAGGAGAATACAGCCCTCCACCCAGCAGGTGAATAACTGGATTTTAAGGCTCTCAGCTAGCTCCAGAAATTGTTTGGTGGGATTGCAGTGTCAGCCCCTGTACTCTTCAGGAGCAGTTGACATCTCCAGAGAGGGCTGGTGCTGCAGGGGAGGTTCTGGATGTCTGCAGAGAAACAGGACTGAGGAGGGGCACAGCTGCCCAAAGTTCAGTCCTACCTGGATCTGTCAACAGTAATGCTGGTGGATACTGCTGTGGCTGGGTGATTTGAGGACCATGTTGGACTCAACAGCTGCCAGAAAGCAGCACCAGCCCTGCCTGTGGTTAGAGGCTGGCCTGGCTGACCTTCAAGTGTCCTCCCAGCCCTAACTTCAATTCTGCGAGGAACGAACCAGCCCAGATCTTGGCTGTCATAAATCAAAGTCGCTCCACTGAGACCGATGGAGGGAGCTGCGTTTATTTAGCTCAGCCAAAGATCCGGTCTGGTACATTCTTAGCAGCAACATTAGGCAGGCTGGGTTCACTTGGCAGAGGCATTGGGCAATTAGCCATGCATGTGGGGCTTTGGGAATTGAGAGCAGAGTGCTACTCTGCCCTATGCATGTGTCTCTTGTGGGCTCGCACCAGGCTCCTTGCCACGTCCCTTCATGGTGCAAGATGAAACCAGCCTCATGTGGGGAGCAAGAGACATTTGGATTGTGGTAGAAGGTCTTGAGCTTCCTACAGCAGATGTCTCACCTGGAAATGTGTCAGACAGGACCTGGACAGCCCAGGAGCTCAGCTGAGCACCCCTCAGCTGAAACCGATGGCTACTGGTCTCAACCTGTTCCAGCTCCTGGGGACAGATTGTTGGTGCAGGAAGGGTCCCACCATGCAGGTACAGTGTGGGAAGAGTTCTACCATGCAGATACATCCCTTCTGGCAGCCAGGAGCTCCACATCGAGGAGAGAAGATTTGCTCCTGGTTGCTGGCAGCCACATGGTGCTGCGTGAATTTAGTTGATGGTGTCAAGGTGGAGAGGATATCAGGAGTCCTGCAGTGACACAGTGCATTGCAGTCAGGGAACATGCTGTGATCTGTGCTGCTGGGCTCCGATATGTTGGCCAGAGGAGGAGTATTGGGGTGAGGTGATGATCCAGCTCCAGGTAAGAAAGAGGCGTTTAGCCCTGAAAAGGAATATTTGGGCCCTGAAGAAGCCTGGGAGAAGGAGTGTGTGTGGTGTGTTGGCGCTGAGCAGGACCATGGTCCTGCAGCAGCTCCCCAGGGCTGGAACCACAATGTGGTCTTTCTGCTGAGCTGGTGTGGGAGATGGTCAGTGAAGAGCCTCTGTCCCAGAGCGAGCCCTGATCTGGACCACCTGCCTTCCTTGCAGAGACCCCCAGAAATGCCTCGTGGTGGCTGACGCAGGTGCTGGGGACTTGGGCTCTCTAGCAAACACCTCTGAGGTGACAGGGGAACCTGTGCTCATGATGACGTGAGTGGTGGCAGCGGGTAGAGGGATGAGCCAGCACTGGGTCTGCTCGGGCATGACTTATTTCAGGCACACTGAGGGTACTTGCCCAATACCAGATTTGATCTTTGTTCCTTAAGTGTGTACCTAATGTAAAAACTATTATCTCAGTGTTTCTTCAAGCCAAACTAAAATGTCACTTTACAAAGTACACTAAAAAAACCACCCTGAGACATTAGCTCATTGGCAAGAAAATTAGCATCATCTCAGTTGCCTCAGACATGGACGTGTCTCTTGCTCTGCTCTCCATTTGCTTAAGGATTGGCCTCTTGGTTTCCTCTCTGTTAAGCTGCACATTCTCCAAGCCAGCTGGGGCATTGAGTGGTGACAGACAGGTGCCACAAGGGAGGCACTCTGAGTCTATTGAGGCTCATATTTAACAGTGTGAGAGTGGCTTGAATGATGGAAGAAAACCTATTTCATGGCATGGTTGGGTTGTGCCACATCCTGAGAGCAAGGTTATGTTTTATGATGTAAAACCCCAAATCAGTATGGGCACTTGGTGAGGGAGGGAACAGCAGATCCCGCTGGTAGAGCTACTTTGAGACCCAAGCCTTGAGATCACTGCGTGCCCATTACAGGAAGCAAGGCAAGAATTGCAGTCACAGGTTGGGAGCCTGCAGGGACATACAGGTTTTGAAGGACAAGACAGACTTTTTAAGTGGCCCCATGCCTGGATGCTCAGCACTAGGTAGGAGGTAGAAAAGCTGAGGACCACAGATTGGGAAGAGAGTCATGGAGGGGAGACTCAGAGCTCTGGGTTTGTCTCTGGGGGCTTCAGAAACCAGCCATGTGAGGGAGGACAACTCTCAGGCAGGACAGGTGAGGTCCAAAAGTATATCAGTAGTTTTAGTGATGGTGGTTGAGAAGAATTAAAAGATCTTCAGAGGGTGACTGAGCAGCCTCTTGCTCTGGAGGTGCAATTGGGGCACCCATCCAGGTCTTACTGTAATCAGCACTGCTGAGCTCAGTGGTGCTCCGAGCAAAGTGCATCTCCCTAAGGACTTGCAGAATGTTGGAGCTCCTTTTGCCGGGGAAGTGCCTGAACCACGGGTTTGAGTGCAGAGCAGCTTCCCCTGCTGCACACTGGCTGGGGGAGCCCCCCAGGACACTGACACGCCTGTCAATGCTGCGGAGGCCTCCCCTGGGACAGGCAGAACTGAGCAGAAAGGAGGCTCGTCCTTCTTGAAACGGAGCCTCAAGGAGATTGACCTGGGTAATTGGCTCAGGAGAGCAGGCCTCTTAAAACTCAATTAGAGACTTTTAAAAATAAATCAGACTGGAACATTGCAAGGGCTGCCAGAAAATTTGGGCGAGGTCAGAGTTGCTTAACGTTCCTTGTTGATTAGATTCAACCAGCTTTTAGTTGGGATAACTTCTGCACAGCTGAGTCAGATTGCTTCGGAGGCCAAGCCAAGAGTGTCTCCTAACGTGGCCATTTAAGGCATGGTGGGCTGAGAGCTGATGGGCAGCCTGGAGAAGACAGTGCACTCCACTGTGAGCTGGGAGGCCAGGGCGGTTTTCCTTCTTCATACTCTGCCTCAGCTTTGCCGTCTGTGTAGTGCTTTGAAGTGAGTGGGTGGGAAAAGGTGAACGAAGAAATTACAGTTGTCTTGTTTCGAGTAGAAACTGCACTTCAGAGCAGCACGAGGAGTTTGTCCAGATTAAAAAATGTGTGGATCTGTAGGACAGCATGTGATGTGCACATGTTTCTGCTCCAAGTCTCCACTACAGCTGAGCTTGGCAGAGCCTGAGCCCACACATACAGTTTCACAGGCTCAGAGTGGGGGACTTTGAAGCAGTTATACTTTCCCTCTACATCCATTTTGGATGTGGATTTGGGTGCCTTGATCCTGTCATCTGTCAGTGGAGCTTATCCATCACCCCACCTCCCCTCCAGCTGCATCCCCAAACCTTCCCTTAGCTCCCAGCCCCGACCTTGGAGTGTCTCTGACTGCTGTTATTCACCCTGGGTCCCAGCAGTGAGTAGCTAGTCTCCAAAGCAGAGTGAGGAACCTGCGTTTCCTGAGAAGCTGAACAAGTAGAGGATCTGTAGGCAGGCTAACGTGGAGTGCCCCTTCCCATTGCAGTGACCACCCCCAGAGCCAGCTGGTTTCAGATTCGGAGTCGGAGATGGACAGCGTGGAGCATCTGGTCCTGGGCAGCACGGACACCCTTTCCAATGGGCACAAGGCTGACTTGGAAGCTGCCAAACGCCTGGCCAAGAGGCTCTACAACCTGGATGGCTTTAAAAAAGCAGATGTGGCTCGCCACTTGGGGAAGAAGTACGTGTGGGTATTAGCAAGGAACGTTCCATTCTGCAAGAATCTCACCTGCACCTGCGGTGCACCCACAGCTGCTGCCCTTGCTGGGTGCCAGGGTGGCACAGCCCACTCCCCTTGACTGCTACGTCTGCACCAGGTGTTACCTCTAAAGGTCTTAAAAACCTAAGAGACATCCAGATTTTGGTACCTTACTATCATGACTGCATCTTGGATGCTTCAGTAGGGGGTTGGGGTAGGGGGGTGACTAGCTGACCTCTTGTGGGCTGTTCAAGCTCTAGTTTCTCCATTTTTTCTTCTAAGCCCAGTATTCCCGTTGGATTTGTGGGTGACTTCTCTGAGTTTCATGGGAGTGTGAGGTGTGTCTGTCCTCAGCACATCTCCTGCAACCCTGGGGAGTTCCCAGCCTCCTAGAATCCACTCAACTCCTGTGTGCCTTTGGCTGTCCCCACAGTTGGGCAATCCCACTCTTACCCTCCCCCTTTTCTATTTCAGCAATGAGTTCAGCAGGATGGTGGCAGGGGAATATCTGAAGTTCTTTGTGTTCACAGGGATGAGCCTGGACCAGGCTCTCAGGTCAGAGCTGAGTGTGTGTGTGTGTGTGTGTGTGTGTGCATGTTTGTGGTGACCACCAGAGTGGGGTCCCAACAGACTGTGCCCTCTGCAGCTCTGCGACCACACAGAGATCTGCAGGAGAAGGCAGAACCCATGACTCCCTACCTGGAGATCCTCTTACCTCTTAAGTAGGAGAGGGTGATTCCCAAGGTGATCTCTGAGCCACACAATCAAGAAAGAGCATCCCTGGTCTTAACGCAATTCTCAGTGCAGTTGGATGACAGTCAGATCCACCTAGGCTTGGCTTTCCAGGTCTTGAACTCAAATCCTTCTGTTGTTACCCCCACCTCCTTTCCTGGTATAGCTCCTAGGTCTGGCTATAGGTCTCTGCGATGTGCCAGCAGGATATGGTGCTGTGTGCTTGGAGGAGAGTCCCGCAGTGGGTTGGGAGGGAGAGATATGAAACAGTGGGGCTTCATCCAGTACACAGAGGGGGGTCTCCAAACCAGAAAGCACAGCTCCATTCCTGCACAAGGTGGGTTGAAGAAACTGCTGGTGGGCTTCATGTGTGACCAACACTGCTGCTGCTTTTTCAGGTCCTTTCTAAAAGAGCTAGCCTTGATGGGAGAGACGCAAGAGCGAGAGCGAGTGCTGGCTCATTTTTCTCAGCGCTATTATGAGTGTAATCCCAATGCTATCCCTTCAGAAGGTAAGAAACTGTGCGTGTCTGTGTGTGTGTGTGTGTTTCAAGGGAGTCTGTGTGTTTGTCAGCTTAGTCAAGGTGCTCAAACTGAAACTAGAGAGCAGACTGAGAGCCTATACTGACACCTTAGAAGATAGCCCTGGTTACGGAGATGTCATTTCCCTCAAATGACAGCTGCTTAGATTTTTATTTTTTTAAGCCTGCTTTAGTTGGATGATGCATAATTAGGACTCAACTCATCCTTACTTCTGACCTTGAGCAGATTAGCACAAGAAGCAAGAGATGGCCCTCCTCACCAACTCTCATCTCTCAGACCCTCAGCTCAGGGAATATCCAAGTGAGAAAACCCATGCACCTGACGCTTGGGCAGCACAGACACACACTTTGTACCGTTTCACATCTTTGCACCTCTCCTGTGTGTGTTCACTTGCTGGGTCTGCTCTGGGCTTGCTCTAGGACAGGTGAGGTTTGGGCTGCCTGGCTCGCAGAGGGCTGTGCTGGTCCTATCTTGCCACGCTAGGAGCTCTGCAGGATTAGCTACAGCATCACTGCCTGGCTGTAGGGGCTGCAAGGTTGGAAGGGAATTTGTATGCTCAGGTTTGGGGCCAGCTTTAATTCAGTGGCCTTCTACTTACTTGCCCTCATGCTGTCATCACTACACTGACTGCTGTGTGCTCCTTGTGCCCCGGGCAGGAGGAGGGGGCTCAGGCCTATTTTGGAGGCTCAGAACCCCCATGCCCTGCCTGAGATGCCGAGGGTCTGGAGCACCAGCTGCAGGGCTGAGATGGGGGCTCTAATTCCTGTCCTGTGCTTGTGCTGCAGATGGAGCCCACACCCTCACCTGTGCTCTGATGCTGCTAAACACAGATCTGCATGGACATGTAAGTTACCACTGCCATTGTCCCAGTCTGTCCCCTGTCTGACCCCACTACCCTGAACTATAGGTGCTGGGGCAAGAGCGAGGACTTGCAAGGGCAGAGCCCCATGAGCAGAAGGCATGGAACCCTGGGCCCACAAGCACTGGTCACTCTTAATGTGTCTGGTCAGGAGAGAGGAGACAGGCTGATTAAGAGGAGGAGCTGGTGAAGGAGAGAGGGGGTCTTTGGGGGAGACTTGATGAGCTGGAAAATGTAGAGGTGGCATGAGGACAAAGAGAAAAGTGGACAGGGAGAGAAGGTGGGAATGAGACTCCAAAATCAGCTGCCATTGGGAACGGGGAGACTATTTCAAACTCTTTGAGCTTTATAAAGACAGCAGCCTCCCCATACCTGCAAACAGCCTCCCTGATACCTGGCTGGTCCCTCACCCCTCTGCAAAGATGGGTGTTTGTTCCTGGGCTGTGGTACCTGCTTTAGCCGCTATTGACCTCTGTCCCAAAGGTAACCCCCACATTTCTTTCCCCCTGGTTCCCCCAGAATATTGGGAAGAGAATGTCCTGCTCTGACTTCATTGGCAACTTGGAGGGACTCAATGGAGGCACTGACTTCCCTAAGGATTTGCTCAAGGTAAATTCAATTGTTCTCCCTGGCCAGCCAAACAGCAGGAGCAAAAATGAGAGTTTTGGGCTGGATCACATGGGGATGCTATGAATCACACTTGGATCACACTGGGATGCTATGAATGCAAGATGCTTTAACATGCAAGAACAGTGATGGTCCCTGGGCCTACAGTTTTCCTTCTGCCTTGCTGAGGGGAACATGGGCTGTCTGTTCCCCCAGAAGGACACTGGAACTCCAGCTGGGGTCCTGATTCCCTCAGTGCTCTTGCTGTGCCAGTATCACAGGCAAGGGAGCGCACAAATGGGGCAGCTTACTACGGTTGGTATGCCCAGCTTCAACCAGAGGCTTCGTGGCATTATCACAATGGCACTCAGCCCTTCCTGACTCCCTGAAGCACTGGAGCCCAAAGCTTTGGCCAGGCCCTGGGACTGGAGCCATCTCTGGTGGCAGAGGTGACATGGGCAAGGCATGGCAGTGGAGATGGTGGGCTGCAGGTTAAAGCCTCAAAGCTTGTGGGAACTCACCACACTGGTGTAACTGGGGGTCTTCTGCCTTCTCCCTACCTAACCCTGTTCCCAGAGGGACTTGGCCAGGGAGGGCAGTGTTCAGCAAGCACCTCTGGCCTTAGACTGCTGCTGTTCTCAGGAGGGTGTTCTGAGCTGCTGTCTCCCTGTCTTAGACCCTGGGAATAGGCTTAGGTCCCATGGGGTCTGCCAGGCAGAAACTGTTGCTGTTGGTGAAGTGCTACAGTTGGAAAATACTCATGATGTGGAAAATGGGTTCCCACAGGGTGTTGAAGCCACAACGGGGGGGAGGTGGTTGAGGAAAAAAGGCAAGAGGCTGAAAAGCTGAGCTCCCTTTCCAGCCTCTGTGGTCTATTCCTGGCTGTGTCGCTCACCCCATCATTAAGGGGTTACCAGCAGTTCTCAATAGGGCTGTCCTCCCTCTCAGCCCACGCTTCACCAGTAAAAGGAGTCACTCAGGAAAAATTCTCCTCTAATTTTAAACCGAGCTCCAGAAAAGGCTTTAAGCACCCAAAATGGATGGAAACATCCAAAAGGTGGACCCTGAACCCCTGGCCTTCAGTGCTGCTGCACTTTGGAGTATCCAAGCTCCACAGACCCCTTGGTGCACTCCCTTTGCAGCTCCTGGTGCCCCATGGTTGGCTACCTGCACTTGAGGTATTTCCCTGTTCCTATTAAACTTCACCCCGAAAAGTACCAGTAGTTTAAACATGTGAGATCAAGTTATCCTATCAGATCCCAGACACTGGGAAATAGGACAGTGAGGGAGTGCCACAAAGCTACAGGCTTTCTCTCATGGGTGGGGGCCAAAACCTTTGCTGGGTGTAAGGGAGTGGGGAAGGCTGCAGTGCTGCAGCACAGCCCCGCACAGCTCTGCCCGCAGCCCAGCAGCTGGGAGGCTGCTCTGCTAAAAATGGCCTGTTCCCTCTGCAGCTGCGGTGCTTCCCACCGCCGCTTTTCAGCCGCCTCTGTACAGGAGCCATGCTGGGGAGGGGGTGTGAAAGGCAGTGTGAGAAACCTCATGTGGGGCAGCCTGCAGCTCCTCACCTGAAACACCATTCCACTTGGGGAACCCCCTACCCGTGCAAGGCGGGGTGGGGCCCCCGGGGCAGGCGAGATGGGGAAAGTGCTGTTGACTTGTACCGGGGGAGGACTGGCAAAGAGGGCTTGTGGCTCTCTTGGGCAGCCTTTGCCAGGCTCAACCAGAGAAGACTCTCTTTCCCTTCTGCCCAGTGCTTTTGGCTGCTTGGGCCTTTGGTCCCCAAACAGACTGAGGGAGCATACAAATGGGAACAGGCTCACTAGCCCTGTTACCCTGGGCCTCCTTGGCAGACCTAGCTGGCGGGCTGTGCTTGGGGACTGAGGCTCCTGTGCAGGCGTGCCACACAGCTGTCTGGCTAATTTTAGTGCTCCAGGAGCACACGCGTTTCCTAAGGGTAGCAGGAGAGAAGAAGGGCCGGCAGGCTTTGCAGGAGCTTCCCAGCACTCAAGGCCGGGTCTTGAGCAGCTCCAACAGCACAGAAGGAAGGTCCTGGGGGCTCTTCCAAGCCTGCCTGGGTAGATAGCGCAGGCTGCTACCACACGAACTTCAAAGCTGGAGGGCTGGAAGTGGCTCTCGCCCACAGGGAATCTCAGTGCCAGGGAATGAGGGCAGCAGGACAGGACCTAGGTGACTGCAGGGGCACAAGGCCACTGTCCCCTCTGGCTCTGGGGACACCATCAAGAATAGACCCACAGGAAGCCTGAGCACTCCTCTTGTCTCTGGCTGCAGGGGGAGTCCCAAGACAAACACAGCATGATGCCTGAGAGCTTGTGGCAGCTTGAGTCAGATGAGAATTATCTGCTACTAGCTAATACATGTAAACAATCCCAGTTTTATGTAGAAGCAATGAAAACACTTTAAGAGCTTTCACAGCTGAGCACCACATCCCCCTCACTGACAGTGCTTCACCATACCCTGCACAGAACTGCTGCTAGAGCTAAGGCAGTGATGCCTTACTGACACTGCTGCTGGAAACCCTTTCCTCTGGCTCTGGAAGCTCTCCTGGAGAACTATACTCCGCAGAAAGGGCTGCCCTCCCTCCCTCAGGCATGGAGCCATGCCAGGGACATAAGAACCCATATAATGCCATGCTTGAAGATGCCCGCATGTGCAGGCTTGGACCTGAACTCCCATGGCTGTATGAAGGCACTGCCCATATAGCAAGGAAGGGGGTGAAGCGATCATCCTGGAGTTGATGGTATTTTGGTTAGCTCTTGAGATGTTTCTTTTCTTCTTGACAGTGTGATTTTTAGCCCAGGCCCCCTGGGATTTCACTCGCTGTTGCTGGTTGTCTGTTATATTTCAGTTGTGGATTTGGCCTTTAGAAGATTGATCACTTTGTGGAGCCTTAGCTCATCCCCATCTTTCTTACTCTTTTAGCTTAACCTTGTGCTTCACTGGCTGGCAGAAAAGCAGTAGGGCTAAATCAAGCCCCGTTTCTCCCCGTCACTGCTTAGCAATTGCAGAAGCAAATCTGTGCTGCCTTCCAGCCTAGAAGCCCAGAGCACGTCACAGATGTTAATGAATTAAGCCTGACAATGCAGTCGGGTCCTCGGGGGAGGAAGGTAGGATGGGCCCCCACCTTCCAGCTTGGAGGCACAACAGCAGGGCTCAGACGCTCAGAGTGCTGGGTAAGTGATTAGCAATGTGGGAAGAAAGCCCTGGCTCCCACCTCTGAGCTATAATCACAGAAACGCTTGCTCAGTCTAATCCCTTGGGCTATTTTTTTTTTGCCTATTTCCCCTGGGAGCAATATGCTGCCCTGCCCCTGTCTCCCTTGGCTCACCCAGCCTCAGGGGCAGCCCAACAAATCTAATGTGCCAGGCACCCATGCCCTCTCCCTCACAAGTTGTGCCCGGTGATCACTATGCCAAGCAGTTAGGATAGAGTGGAAAATTTCCCCCTCTCCACTGGCTGCATCTCCTGCTCAGTCAAGCCTAACTAAATTACGCATCGATCCTTTCCTTCTGCAAGGATGCCCAGCTCTTTGCATCTTCACAGGAGCAGCTGTCTGAAGCATCTCTGTCCTGCCTGTAACCAGCTGAGTGGCTCTAGCTACTGCCTGAGCTGGGAGGGACAGGCAGGAGTGTTAAGCTTGGGGTAGGCACTGAAGATGGTCTGAGCACATCTCCATTGGGCCCATCTCCTACCAGCTTTATAGGTCCCTGAGGTGGACAGGGCTGCAGCAGCAGCTCTGAAGCCTGCCCAGATGGAACCGAGTGGAGGTGCCACCCGGCCCCTGGAGCCCAGGAGATGTCACCACCGCGGCTCCACAAGAGCCCAGGAGCGTCCAGCCACCTGCTTCCCCTCTCCGCGGAGAGGAGGCAGGGACGGCCAGCTGATGCAGCGGGGGGAGCTCCGGCAGCTCGCGTGGCACCAGCGCCAGGGATGCTGTCCCCGCGGGTGGGATCTGTCCCCGCGGGTGGGATGCCGTCCCCCCGGGTGGGATCTGTCCCCTCGGATGAGATGCCGTCCCCGCGGGTGGGGTGCCCGCCGCCAGCCCCTCGGCTCGGCCCGGCCCGGCCGGTTGCCGCGGGTCGCCATTGGCTGCGGCGGGCGGGGCGGGGCGGCCCCGCCTCTGTCGGGAGCCGCCGCCGAGCCCGGCCCGGCCCGGCCCCGCTTCAACAGGCGGCGGCGGCGGAGCGGCCGCGGCGGGCAGGGCTGGGCAGGGCTGGGCAGGGCAGGGCCGCCGGGCATCCCGCCGGGCGCCCCGCCGCCCCCCCGCCGCCGGCGGCAGGATGATCGGCGTCAACAGCATCAACAGCAGCGCGGGGCGCATGCGGTCCCGCTCCATGTGCTCGGTGCGCTACGGGCGCAACTACCGCGGCGCGGAGACCTTCTGCTACGGCTGGCCCCAGCGCTCCCGCACTCTCAAGCCGGTGCTCTACACCGACCTGGTGGTCAGCCGCCTCCAGAACCGTCGCAAGAAGAAGCCGGTAAGCGGCGGGCCGGGGGAACGGGGGGCTCCGCGGAGGGATGCGCAGCGCCCTGCGCCCCGGCGGGGACACGGGCAGGCGGACGTGCCCGGACAGCCGCCGTCCCGCCCGCTGCAAGAACCTCAGCCCTGGTATGGATGTAGCGATCAGCCAGCCCCATCTCCCTCTCCTGCCTGCTTTCTGCGGAGCCGGGCCCCCACCAACTCCCCCTCGCCCGAGGATCCCCGTCCCCAGCCCTGCCGTCCTTCCCGTATCCGACCCCGAGCACAGGGGTTGCGGGAGCGCGGCAAGACCTGGGTGACATTGCGCCGCTTACCGTGGTCTGACAGCAACGCTTGCTCGAAAACATCGCTGCAAGAGGAATCCAGGACAGAGCCGTACCGCTGGGACCAGCCCTCCAGCTTAGCATAAGTGACAAGCTCTGCGGGCTCCCTGCCAAGGGTTGAGCTGCGCCGTGCCCTGCCGTGCCGTGCCGTGCCGTGCCAGCCCGGCCAGGGCAGACTGGCACCCAGCTGGGCGGCGGGGAGAACCGCAAGGCAGCGCGGAGGGACAGCGCCGCAGCCCCGGCTCCCAGCCGAGCGGAGCTGGAGAGGAAGGAGTGGCAGCCTCGACAAAAAAGGGCTTTTTACTGCCAAGAGCTTGCTCGCTGTGAGCCGGCATCCGTTTTGGAGGTGTTAGGCTGGTCCGCATCGGTCCTGGGTGGGAAGAAGCGAACAGGCTGTCTCTGGGCGCGTCCTGTCTCGGTCGGGTACCTGCCTCCAGTGTAGCAGCGGGAGAAGAGTCTACATCGGCCCCCTTCTCTCAGGCAGGTTGTGGCAAAGCAGGCAGGGGTACCCCCGAGCTACCTGGGCTGCCCCCGTGGCCAAAACAAGCCCGGTGGGGCCATCGGGGCCGTGCCAAGCCGCGATGCTGTCATAGCGCAGTACGGTCTGGGGGCAGCATTAAGTTGTGACGCACTCGGTTGGAAACATGCAGTTGGGAGATGCTTGGTCTCTGCTTCCCGCGCTGTGGGGCTGTACTGTGAGGGATAGAGGGGTCTGCTGTCCTGGGAGTAATAGTTGCCTGGGCAAGGAATGTTTTAAATATTTTAAAAGAGGTTGGTGCAGCTTATGATGTTACTGAGTCGAAAGTGTGGGGCTGGGATAGTCAGCTGTCTATTACTGACTGTAGCAGGGTAGAAGGTGATGCACAGGACACTGTCCCCGTGGCAGCCCATTCTACAGGGAAAAAAGTCTGTTCCCAGGTCACTCTGCTGTCACTGTTCCCAAGTCACTGTGCACACTGGAGCCCCTCTGCAGTGGAGGGGAGGAGGGACACATGGGATGTGCGCAGCAGGGGCTGGTGTGTGCCAGGTGATGAGTTGTTCTTGATCATGGGTTGTGCGTGCTGTGCAGGCAGTGGAGGTGCAGGAGGGACTGCCAAGGTGAATTAGTGACCCAACATAGGAACAGTTCCATCTAACATACAGCCCGGATCTGCCCCTGCTGTTTCTATCTGCGCAGCTGAGGGTGTCTGTGTGCCTGGGGGACGTCACAGAGCTTTGTGGCTGGGTGTAGAGAAGATACTTTGCTAGGGAAAAGTTGGGGAAAGCCAGCAATTGAACTCTCATACTGAAATGCTGCCAGGCACAGAGAGAGGGAGAATGACTGCAGGGAGGGTGTTTGGTGGCTGTGAAGTCTGTCTTGAAGAATGTCACGCACCCGTGGCTGGGCACAGGTCTGACAAGAGGAAGGGGAGCCTTGACATGCACAGGGTATCTTGCTGCACAGAGAGCTGAGCACTGTGTTGTTTAGCACAGGAACTAGCAGGGTGGAAAGGGGATGTGTCTGTAAGAGTTATGATGCATAAAAGAGGCACTCCAGATAGGGTTAAACCCTTTATCTGGATGCCTAAATTCCTGCGTTAACCTTCATCTGTTACTTTAGTGCTGGGCTACAGCCGTCGGTACAATCCTGTGCCAAAGCTGTGTCCAGGCCAGCTTGTTACCCAGCTCCCCAGACCAGCACTGGATCTTGCCTCTGGTCTGGTCTGAGCTGAGGAGTTGAAGGGGGCTGTCTTCTCCCTGCCCTGCTCGTGTAGGGCTGTCCCCAGCAGAGTTGGGGCTGCTAGGGGCTGGGCTGCAGCATCAGAGCGACCTGCCTCTTGCCCAGTGCGGTCCCTCACCTCTCCTTGAGACATTTGCTATAGCAGCACTCCGGGACATCCCCTCAGCCTGCTTTTGGAAGGGAGGGCACCAAAGAAAGATGTTGTTGATTCAGTTAGAAATCCCACTGGGACAGTATATTCCTAGGTCTCTTCAGTGTTGCGCATGTCTAGGGCAGAGCTGGCTGGCTGGCCTGGCGTGCTGCAGCAGTGAGCTCATAACCCAACAATGGCAAAAACCCCAACCATGTTTGGGGTCGTCCATAGTGGCATTTGGCCAGTGCCCAACTTTCTCTTGGGCAGTGCTTGCAAGCTCAAAGATACCAAGAGATGCTGTCCTTTCAACCCAGGGGGAATCAAACCACAGAGCAAAGAGAAGCCGGAGAGAGGGACCTGCTGGTTTGGTGTCTCTGGTCTCTGCTGACGTGGCTGTGAGTTAGGCTTCAAGAGCCTACATATCCTGTGCTTCCCCAGCAGAAACAGCCTGTGCACCAAAGGGCCCAGAGTTTAGTGGACTGACAGGCAGTTGTTCTAGTACAGTACCAGAACAGCAGCCACAATGCTGAAGTGCATCTTCTCAGCTAAGGCCTAGGCTGAGTCCACCAGCTTTGTTCTGAGATCAGTGTTGGCTGGGGTTGGCATTTAGCCAAGCAGAGTCTTGGCAGGATTTAAATGCAGACATAAAGCTTTGCCCTCTCAATCTCCACAGTCTCCCTGTGTGCCTCTCATTGTCCCCCTGCACAGGAGTGCTGAGCAACCCCTGCTCCCTGACTCTGAGGTGGGGTACTTGGCAGTGTGCTGTCAGGACTTGTAGCAGGGCAGCTGGAGCTTTTGAAAGCCGCAAGGCTGTTCAGCCTTTGAATTACTCGCCGACAGAGCCCAGGTTTTTGTAACACAGTACTCTGCCAGGCTGTTATCCAGCAGTGTGCCATCCAGAATTACTCCTCGAGCCTCTCCTGGTATCAATTCATTCACTCTGCATTTAGCCGCAATCCTCCTGCAAGCCCTGCATGGGGTTGGGGTCCTCTCCAGTGTTGCACCTCGCCCTGCCCTCCAAAATCCCAGCTCCCTTCCTTGGGGACAAGGAGATGACACCTCTCTGTATTGCCACTGAGCCGGGTAGAAGCCAAGCCATGTGTCCCATTCTGCCCTCTCTTTCCAATGTGCTTTTCTGCTGTTTCCAGTCCCCCCTTCTCTGTGCCATTTTTTTTAGTCTCCTTTTTGTGTCCGTTCGTTCTCAGCATTTTTCAGCTGCATCCATGGCAGTGAGTAAGATCCCTTCCCTTCTGTTTCCCATGGTGACTCCTTATCATCTACATTGCTCTGAGATGCCGGTTTATCCCCCTGCTCCACTTCCAGGTTATGTTCTGCAAAGCTTTGGATTGTTTTTTCCCTCCAGGCTCTTCTTTAAGTCTCTCTTCTCCTCTCGCTGCCAGCCCACTGATGTGTACCTCCTGCTCACAATTCAGCATCCTGTCCCTCCGGCACTGGGGCTGCATGAATTGGGCTGGGGTCAAATCTTCTCTCAGGCTCTGGGGCCATAACCCCTCTATAGGCATCCTGCCTTCCCAGGAGACAACTGAACCCTACTTTCTGCCTGCTAGACTGGGGCGATCCCTTCCCTCCTCTGAGAAACAAACTGGTGCTATGCCAGCATTTCCCCAGCGGGAAAGTGCGGGAGGAGCCGGGTTCCTGCTCTGTCCTGGCTGTTGCGCCTCTCGGGAGTGATGGATGTCCCTTCTCCAGACACCGCTGGGGCCTGTGTGCTGGCCAGCATTCCTGGGCTCCTACACGCCTCCAGTTGTACTTTCTCAGCCACCAGCAAGATCTCTCAGCAGCAGTCTCCGGCCCAGTGATGGATGTTGACAGCTGCATGAACAGCCTGTGCGAGACTCGATTATTTTCCTCCGAGGATGATGCCTTCCAGATCGTGCTCCGAAGCCCTCTGTGAGCACTGTGTTGAAATCCTCTCTGGAGCCTCCCCAATTGCAGAGCTGTGCTGAGCACTGCTGGCTTACACCCAGCTTGGCCCAGACAAACACTTGGGAGCAGGGCCCTGGAGCATCCTGCTGCAGGCAGGCTTGTCTTGTTCCTGTGCTGAAGTACAGGCAATGGGTCCTGCTTTGTTCAGCTTAGTGGTGTTTGGGTCCACAAGGAAGGAAAGGCGCTTGAGGGTGATGGGCAGGGGTAGGACCAGGCCACAGCCACTCCAAGCAGCAGTAGCCCACCCTGCCTTGACCAGCCACAAGGTCTCCTCTGGGAGCCTCATGAATGACAGCACGCCAGGGTCTCTGCCAGTGCTGGGCCAGTGCCGTGCTGAAGTCTGTCCCAAAGCTGAAGTGTGTTCCTACGAGAGCAGTGCATTCCTGGGGAGTGCTGGGTGCTGCCATGAGCCCATCTCTGCCAGCCCAGGGCAGGTGGCTGACAGCAGCAGGGTTGCTGGCTATGGTCTGTTGTGTCATGGAGCTTCTGAGGGCCCTGAAACAGACTGAGGTCCCACTGAGCAGGGTGAAGGCAGGCACCACCAAAGTCCATCCCAAAAGCTTGCTCTCCTTGGACTCAGGCCTCCTGAGTGTTGTTGCTTTTACCGGCCTGGAGCACCTTGTAGTGGGGAGAAATAGCTCTCCCAAGGACTTGGAAGTGTTTGGTCTGCCTCACCATTATGCCTGCTAATGCTGTGACACTGTCACAGGTAGGTAGAGTGGAAGGAAAAGAAAGGAGAAAATGCCAGGCCCATCCCCAGCACCATGTCTGGGGTGTGCTTGGGGTTGCAGGTCCCACGGTGCCCAGGAGAAGCAGCCGCTACAGTGATGTCAGTAGTCCAGCCTGCACAGGGCTGGATCAGGACAAACTGACAGGGGGTTACCTTAACCTCCAGTACCCCTGAGCCAGTCTGGTGTGCCTTCTCTGTCCTTTGGAGCAGCCTCCAGTCTTGGCACTACTCTCCTGCTGACCCCCCCGCTCTTCTCTCTGCAGGCACTGTACGGCTCCATCAAGAACGAGAAGCTGCAGTGGGCCATGTAAGTACCCCTGCGGGAGGTGCTGCTGCCCAGCACTGGGCAGGCAGTGAGGCCACCAAGCCCCAGAGGCTGTATGAGCCGTGATGCTGCAGTGCAGGTGCCCCTGTGATGATTTGGGAAGGAGAGGGAGCTTGGGATGGACTGGGCTGGGGCTGCAGGCAATGTAAGCCTGGTTGCCCTCAACACCTTCCCCAGCATGCTGAGAGAAAGCCAGCTGAGGCCAGCTTCCTGTGGCTTTGGTGTGGTTTTGTGCCTTGGTGGCCATGCCCGTGTTGGGAGTAGGCAAGCTCTGGGGGTACTGTGGCTATGCCGGGGCCCCACAGGGTGCCCGCACCCTCGCCCACAGCTGCCATCTCCAGCAGCAGAAGCGGCAGCGCCTGCGCTGCAGGGATTAATCAGCCCAGTGGTACCCAGCGCTGAGCGATGCACTCGGCCGCTGCCATGGAGACGCCGGCAGATGCTGAGGGGTTTAATTAGCAGCGAGCGGCTGAGGGAGGGGGGAGGCAGCAGTTCTGGGCTCCCACATCTTCATGCGGGCTGGGGGAAGCAGCACTGGTGCAGCCTGCCCACGGTGAGGGGGCAGGCTCTCTAGTGGGAGAGGGCTACCTACATAGTGCCCACACCTGCTCCTGCCCTCGGCTGGTACTGCCCGAGGCCTTCCCACTACAGTCTCCCTGCACCTCTTCGCTTCTGGCTCTGGGTCCCATAGTCTGGCTGCCACCCTGAATGTGTGGGGACCACAGCCTGGGCCTGTCTTTGTGGGTGAGTTCCATTCTAAACCCTTTTTTAAATTCTGGCCAGCTGGGGACCTGTAAGCCTGTATACCATGGGCTGGGGGATGTGGTAGCCCTGGGGTGCTGCTCCTCCATGGCTTCTGGCTCATCAGCCTGGCAGGTGCCAGTCCTATCCCTGGCCAAAAAAAAGGCTCCTCACTCCCAGAGCTAGGCAGGTGCCCCACCCTGAATCGACAGCAGACACCGCAATGCCCTGTCTTTCGAGGGGTCAGGCAACACCTCCACTGCCTAGAGGGACAGGGGCACATGGGCATGGCTGGGTTTGGGATGCTCACCAGTGGTGGTGGGAGACTGCTCATCTTGGCCTGCTGCTCCTGGCCTTGGTATTTGGTGTCCCCGCAAGGTAACAAACTCTTTCTCCACCCAAATCTGTGATTGTCAGAGATGAGGAGGAGCTGAGAAAATCCCTCTCGGAACTGGCAGACCCCAACCCGAAGTCCATCAAGCGCATCAGCAGCTGCAGTAACCCCTTTCTGGACTTCTCTCAGGACTCCAGCATTGCCACCTACAAGCATGGGCTATTAGTCCGCAAGATCCACGCTGATCCTGACTGCAAGAAAAGTAGGTGCCTGGGGAACCCATGGGAGGCACTTGGGGCAAGAGGGCACCAGTGAGCTCCAGAAACTAAAGGGGAAGCAGGGCAGAAGTCACCGTGTGATACCTGATGGTAGCAGGTAGCATTGTGCCTGGCTCCAGCATCAGCCCCCTGTGCCCTATCTGTCTTTACGTGCCAGGCATAATTCAACCCTCAGGCTGGGGAGCTGGAAAGCTTCTCCCTGCCCATTTGCCCCCACCGTCAGGGCTGGGCAGAAGCCAAGCAGGCGGGCACTGCAGCCCCTGCCCACAGCATTGGGAAAAGTGCAGACAAGGAGATGGGGTGGTGTGGGATCCCCAGGGGCTGCACCCATGCCACAGGATTGCAGGGATGAAGAAGGAAGGTGTCCTGTGCTGTGATGAACAAGGCACACAGCAGGCTGCTGTTGGTTGGGCACTGCCAGGCACGTTCACCCTATTCCCAATAAAATCCCCTTTAAGTCCTGGCCATCTAATGCCACCTAGATCTGATTAGATGCAGCTGCCTTCCAAAGCCAGCATTACCTGGCAGGCAGCACCGCCTTGTCCCCCTCCCTGAGCAGGGAGGCAGTGGTGCAGCCGAGCACAAGCAGCGAGGCGGGAGTGCAGCGGCGCTGTCGCTGTCCCTGTCCCCGGGAGGCGGCATGCGGCCCCCTGCCAGCAGCACCATCTGCCAGCCACGCGGCCTGCACGGGCTCAGGTGCGCGGGGACAGGCCTGGCGTGCTGCCCGTCCCGGGGGTGGGGTGACGTGCGTCGTGGCAGGGCTGGCTGGAGGAGGATGGGGGTTGCCTTCACCCCAGTAGTTGCTGAGGATGTTATCTGAGCTGGCTCTCTCCTCCCCGGCAGCACCCCGAGGGAAGCGCGGCTGGAAGCCCTTCCATGCCATCTTGAAGGGGATGATTCTCTACCTGCAGAAGGTAGGCAGCAGCAGAGCCACCTGTGTCTGCACAGGGGGAAGGATTGTCCCCAACGCAGGGGGTGGGTCATGGCAGTCTCCACAGCTGTGAGAGGGGCTCCAGCAAACAACAGTGCAAAGCCTGGCCTAAGCAGACTCGGCACCATGCATGCTTGAGCCATTGCTTGGGGATCTGGTGGCATCCCTGTTCCCAGGGTGGCTCAGCCTGAGCAGTGAAAGCAGCTGCTAACTGAGAGCCCTACATGCAGGGGGCTTGGCTGGGGAGACAGGAGGCAATGCCCTGGGTGGGAGGTTGGGCTGCACATCCAGTTCCCTGCAGGCACACATGCTGCCCAGCTGTGGGCAGTGGGGAACAGCCCCTGGGCTGTTATCAAGCCAATGCACCCAGGTTGTGCAGCCTCTCCCCAGGGGGGTAGGATGAGCAGGAAGCAGAGTCCGCAGCTGGCTGGTGGAGGGTGATCTCCAAGCCCTGCCACTGCCAGCACTAGTCTGCAATACCTGAAACCTCATAGAGCTGACTCATGGTGGGGTGCATCCCTGAGCTGGCTCTGAAAGTCCCCATGATTTGCAGGAGGAGTATAAGCCAGGGAAGGCACTGGCAGAAGAGGAGCTGAAGAATGCTATTAGCATCCACCATTCGCTTGCCACGCGGGCGTCTGACTACAGCAAGCGACCCAATGTCTTCTACCTCAGGACAGCTGACTGGAGGGTCTTCCTCTTCCAAGCACAGTGAGTCCCTCAGGATCACTTGCTGGGCCCCACACTGGGATGCAAGGGCTCATCTGACTTGGGGGTAGGGTGGGATGGAGCTTAGGGCCACATTGCTCTCTCCAGTCCTGGCCCTTTCTGGTAGGAAAGGGACATGGTGTCAGTGCTGAGCTTTGTCCAGCTTCTCTTCTTCTTACCCTGCTGGGCGCAGGATTGCTGGGGGCAGAGTCCTGGGTGTCATGGCTGGCTAGGGCTCGGGTCTGGGGGACCTGGATCTTGTCTGTAGGGCAGTTCCCTCTGTCTTTGACACAGCCCATCTGTGGTATGGCTTTTTTCCTTAGGAACCCCGAACAGATGCACTCGTGGATCACACGCATCAACGTGGTGGCAGCCATGTTCTCTGCACCCCCTTTCCCCGCAGCCATCGGCTCCCAGAAGAAGTTCAGCCGCCCGCTGCTGCCCAGCTCGTGCACCAGGCTGTCCCAGGTGGGCCATGGTGGGGGGGCAACTGTGACCATGGGACAAGCCCCCTGGGTCTCCTGGTGGCCCTTTCCCCTGTGGAGGGACCTATGTGGTGCCATGCTCCCCACTGCCTCCCAGTGGGGTACAGGGTCAAGGGAGACACAGAGCAAAGGGGTACTGAGGTTGTGGGCAGACAGTGAGGTCTTGTTCCCCACAGCTGGAAGCGGAGTCAAGCAATGTTTAGACCATGGAAGAGAATGTGGTCCCACACCACAACTTGCAGGGTCCTGCCAGGGACTTTGAAAGGCAACTGGCGGGGGGGATTAGCTGGCACTCGTGCATGCCAGGTCAGATATTCATAGAGCAGAAAGGATTTAAAAAAAACACCAACCTAGTTTTAGAGGGATTAAATTCTTCTGCTTTAAGACTTCAGTCAGCCCCTCCACAAGGTGAGAGCAGACTGCCCCCAAGGGCCTGTGATTTAGCCTGCTGTTTAGAAAAAAAAATCAAACCTAACAGCAGAAGCTGAGATCTTGGCTGGACCCAGAAGGGGAAAAACCTGTTCTGTCCCTGGCCAGCTCACACTACCAGGGGTACAGACCAAGGCACTGATGTGGTGTCACCCTTCCCCAGGAGGAGCAGGTGAAGAACCATGAGACCAAGTTTAAGACGATGTCAGCAGAGCTGCTGGAGCATCGCTCCTCACTGCCTGAGAAGAAGGTGAAGGGCAAGGAGTATGAGGAGCTAAAGCAGAAGGAAGAGTACCTGGAGTTTGAGGTGAGCTGGGAGATACCCCCCTCTACCCTCACGCCCTCTGCCCCTGCCCGCTTGGCCATCCTGAGTGATGGGTCCAACCTATCCCTGTCAGATGAATTGCACTGTGTTGCTGCGTTGTTCGTGTCACTGGGTCATGAGCATTCCCCAGCCTGGGGAGGCTGACTGGGGTGGGTGGGGCTACGAAGCACCACCCCCTGACATGGGGATGCTGTGCAGGGGGCAGTACCCAGCTTGCCAACCTCTCTCTCTGCTGCACTGTGCCCCCCAGAAATCCCGCTATGGCACCTACGCCATGCTGCTGCGGGCCAAGCTGAAGGCTGGCTCCGAGGACCTGGCAGCATTTGAGTCCACCCTGTTTGACACAGTGGGTGGGGAGGACGATGCCCTGAAAAAATCCCGCTCCAGCCCCTCGCTCAACGCAGAGCCCTCCAGCACGGCCACCAAGGTGAAGCGCAACGTCTCGGAGCGCACTGGCCGCCAGCCCCCCGGCCACCCCCAGAAGTCCTAAGTGAGGGGCATCGGCCGCCTGCGCTGCAGCTCCGTTCCTGCCCCCCCAGCACAGGGGGTGGAGGCCGTGTGCCCGCCGAGACCCTGCATGTGTCCGCCTGTTTGCGGCACGAGCTAGAGGGAGCGACAGCCCTTCTGCAGCCGCCAGCACCAGCCATGCAGGGCCACGGCCCCTCCACCGGAGACGGTGGCAGAGCAGGACAGTCCCCGGTCCTTGCCTGCAGGAGCTGCCCGCACCATCGGCCTCATCAGACTTGTTCCTGCCCCTCCTTGTCCTGCATTTGGCTGCAGGACCTACTCTTTTGCCCTGGGGAAGGGGAACAACTGAAACCCACCTGCTGGGCTCAATTTTTCAATGGTTTAAAAAAAAAGACAAAAATGCAGCAAAACAAAGCCAGCGGCTGCTTCTTCTCCAGCTCCGTCGTGCCATGGGGGTAGATGGGAGGGGGCCGGTCCTAGCCTGTCCCCTCTTCTGGGGCTGGTGGCCAGGGAAACCAGGGCAATGGCACCTGGTCCCCTCCCTGCCACCTCAGTCACCTCTGCACCCTCCCCGCTTTCTTACAACTTTTGAACAGTTTTTGTGATACAGTTTTGCACTTTTTAGTACCAGATTGAGCTGACCACTAGGGAAGTTTTTTTGGGGCTACTTTTGATGCTTTTTGGGAACTGTTTAAAAAAAACAAACAACAGAAACTCAGCCATTTCCTGTAGGCACTGCATTCTGGGGGAAAGAGGCTTTTACAAGGACCAGGGGAGATCCAGCTCCTCCCTGCCCTGCAGCAAGCTGAGCACGGGCTCCTGTGTGTGCTGCTGCTGCCTGCTTCCCCAGCTCCACTTTGGCACCAGCAACCCTTCGGGGAAACAGCCCTGTGGCTGCCAGCAACAAGGAAGCAGCCTTGGGGTGGCAGCATCCATTGCTGCACTTGTGGCTGCATAGGAGGCTGATGGGCCGGTGCTTCATGACCCCCATTCCCCTTTTCCCCACCCCGGCAGCCTGGACAGGCCCTGTTTGCACCATGTGGGAGTGATCACCATCCTTGGGGCATGTTGGGCAGCAGTGTATAAGTAGTCCCAGTTGGGCAGCGACTCCTGGAGCCAGGGCTGACATGGGGGTCCCCACTGCCCTATGGGTCTGGCACAGGCTGGAGCCAGTTTTCCTTCCCACACCTCTTCTCCAACGCATGGCCAGGGCCTCAGGCTGCCAGGAAAGCCTGGTCTGCAGCATTGCAAGGTCCTCAGGCTGCAACAGCAGTGGTGCAGCCCCTTCCTCAGCCACGGGCTCCCTCCTTGCCAAGAAGTGGGGCAGGCTGGGACAGCCCCCACCACTCCAGGGTGAGCTGAAGGATGCTTGTCCGGAGCAAGGTGCAGGTGATGGAGCATGGCTGCAGGATTGTCCAGAAGGGGGTCTGGGGGCAGCAGAAGGGCTGTGAGCAGGAGCACACACGCAGTTCTCAGCTGCCTGGGACCTGGCTGGTTTCAGCACTGACTTTGCGAATGTGTCAAACTTTTTATTCTGCTCTTTTGAGGCTATTGCAAAAACAAAAACAAACGAACAAAATTTAAAAAAATAAAATTAAAAAAAAAAGGAAAGAAAAAAATCCACCCTTGCCCCAGGTGGCTTGGGGGAGAAAAAAACCTTTGTACAGCTTCTTCTCTCAGTTACTGAAGTAAAACTCACTCTTCACTTCTTGTGTGTGCTGTGGTTTCTTCCCCAACGTTGGGGATAGCCCTGGCACAGAGGGATGCTGAGGAAGGGCTGGCAGCTCTCTCCTTGCTGCCAGACTCCCAGACCCAGGCAGGGTTCAGCAGGGTTAGTGCCCACTGACTCATGGCTGGGGCTGGAGACAGGGAGGGCAAAGGCTAATGGAAACTATGTATTTTTATTTAGAAGAGGGACCATTAAATAAGAGTAGAGAAGGGCAGGAGCCGGCTGTGTCCCATCCCCCTCAGTTCATGCAGCCGGGACCCCAAGTCCAGAAGGCACTTGTGTGGGCAAGGCAGAGGGCAGTGTGTAGGCACAGGGGCTCCTGGCTCCTCAGTGCACCTGTGGCTGCTGGCTGGGGGGCAGCTCAGCCCCCGGCTTCAAGGCCACCGTGGGCTCCTGCTCCTCCTCCACCGACTCACTGCCGTAGGCGCTGTCTTCCTTCAGCTCTGCAAAGGAACCCCCGGGTGCTCTTAGCGATGGGGCGTCAGGGGGCAGCAGTGACACCCTCTGCACGCCCAGCCCACGCTCTCTGTACCTGTGCTTTGCAGCTTCTCCAGTGCCTCAGTTTTGTGGAGCATCCTCGCAGCGCTGTGGAGCCCCATAGAGTCCAATGCTTCCAGCAGTCCCTCCAGGCTGCCACCTGCCAGCTGTGGAGAGAGGGCACTGAGCGGGGCTGATTGCTGGGCAGGCAGGCGGGACAGGGGCACCCCAGCCAGGCACTGACCTCGTAACTGCGCAGGAGGCTGACGCTGGGCGAGGGGGTGTCCTTGTAGGTCTCCACGAGGCTGCAGAGTCCCAGGCGCTTGGCCAGCTCGATCCAGTCTGACCCACTGCAGTCCTGGTTCAGCAGCTGCTCCAGCCCCTGCAGTGCCTCACTGTCCAGTGACAGGACCTTCCCTGTACAGGAGAGGTGCCTCCATCACATGCTGCCCATCCTTGCCCCCAGGTGAGTGCTGCCCTGCCAGCGTGAGGTGCTTTTGGGAGGAAAAGGGCTACTCACCTGGCTGGGGAGCAGTAGGCAGCTCTGCCTTGGGTCCCTGCTGGGAGGCCTGCAGCAGTATCTCCCGCACCTGCAGACACGGATGTCAGCATCCCATAAAGCACTGCCCAGAACCCCATCACCTTCTCACACTATGATCTTCCCAGGCCACAGAGGGGCCCCAGCATCCTCACAGGAGCATCTCCTGCAGCTCTGCCCCATCCATGCCATGGCCCACATAGAAATGCTCCCTGGGAGTTTGTCCCAGAGCACCACACACCTTCTGGCTCCGAGTGAGGTCCAGGGATGTGTGGCAGCGGCGCTGCCTGTGCCCTGCCTGCCAGTGCCCCTGTGTGGAGAGCCTGGGGTTGGTGCTGTGCTCTGCAGCCAGGGCTGGCTCCCCCAGCTCCATGGCCAGCTCCTGCTCATCGGGGTCAGTGTCCGTGTCACTGCTGGCTTCCGACGAGGATAAGCTCATAGGCTCGTCATTCTCACACAGAACATCTGCCCCTGTTAGGGAAGGGTGGAATGAGCCCCCAAAAGGGAAGGTGGGCCTAGGGGTCTGCCCTATGCCTGGCACCCCTCAGCACAGGCAGCCCAGGCTACAGAGAGGGAAGGGAAAGGAGGAAGGGCAGTGCCTTACCAGCTTTGAGGAGCAGTTTGGTGAGGGTAGGGGAGCCCAGGCCAGCAGCCAGGTGCAGGGGGGTGTTCCCGGCGAAAGTCCGGCTGTTGACATCTGCTCCCAGCTAACAAGAAAGGTGCAAGGCCATGATGATGGGCTGCCTGGGCACTGCTCCTCCTACATTCTGTTACCTGAAGACCTCAGGGGAGGCCCCACTTCTGCCGAGGCCCTGTAGGAGGCTGTACCCCATCCCTGTCCCACAGCCACTACCACACCAGCCACCCCACACCTTTTTCACCAGGTGAGTAGCCATGTTCAGGTTCTCCATCTCCACAGCCAGGTGCAGTGGGGTCCTCCCACTTTGCCTCTCTGCTGCATTCACGTCTGCTCCCGTCCTGACCAGCAGGTCCAGGCAGGCCAAACTCTTTGCCTTCACAGCCAAGTGCACAGGCAGGAGGCCTGCAAGATGGGGAGAGACTTAGAAGCCTTCTTGCAAAGCCCATGGCAGCACCAATGGTGCTGCCCATCATCCCTCAACCCCACTCACCATGGAAATTGGGCAGGTGGAGCAGGTAAGGGGCAGCCGAGCCCAGGTGGGCCAGCAGTGTCTTCAGCACCTCTTCATCGCCAGCCTGGAGTGCCAGGTGCAGCAGGGAATTGCCGTAGCGGTCCAGCAAGGTTGGGTCAGCGCGAGCTTGCAGCAGGAGCTGGACCACTTGGGGCTGCTTGGTGATGACTGCCAGATGCAGCGGTGTCTGCAGGACAGCAGCACACCCTCAGCAGCGCTCACAAGAGGAGCCAAGTTCTCTCCAGTGTGGCTGCACCTTGCTCAGATCTGCAGCCTCCCCTCAGCAGGAGCAGCAACAGGAGACCCCAGGGTTGGGAAACAGGAGTGGGGAACTACTTCCAGGTAGAGGAGAACTGGTTGCTCTGGGAAACATGTACCTGTTGCAGGTTATTGGAGATGTTGATGATCTGCTGGCTGGGGATGCTAACAATGACCTCGATCAGCTGCTTGATCACAGCTGTCTGCTCATGGATAATAGCAAGGTGCAAAGGCCTGTAGAGAGAGCGGGGTGGTCCCTAGCTCAGCTCCATGCTTCTCCAGGTACTCCTTGCCACACCCAGAGCCCCCATAATAGCTCTAACACCCAACAAGGCCACCACACTCTCCCTCCAAACCCCTCGTGTGCTCACGTGTCTCCATTCTCGTCCTGTGATGCGGCCAGGTGCCTCTGGACTGCCAGCAGCATACGGGGGTCAGCAGTGACCGAGTAGTCGAGCAGGGCATGGGCATTGCGACGAGCTAATGCCAGCATCCAGAGCTGGCACAGCTGAGCTGGGAGGCAAATCAGGATGTCACCTCCAGGAGCAGCAGCCCCATCCACCCTCCAGTGTCCCCCAGCAGTGGAGAGCAGCACCCCGAAAGGCCCCCAACCCACACCTCCTCTCCTGAGTGATGTCCCCCAGACCTCCTTCAAGCTCAGCCCCTCCTACCATGCTTCTGCAGCTCCTTGCAGTACGTGCTGTCTGCGGGTGCCTGCTTGTCGCTCCCGGGCCCCTCTGCCTCGGGGCCCTTCATCTGCACACCCCCCTGGTAGCTCCCCACAGGGTGGGGGCCAGGTGAGTAGATGCTGTTGTACGGCAGCCCAGGGGAGTAGGGGAAGCTGAGGTTCCCACCTGCGGAGCAAGGGGGAGGACAGGTGAGCAGAGGGGAGCAGCAAGCCCCTTAGCCACTCGAGCAGGGAGGGGGAAGAGGCATCCCCACTCACCTCCTCCAGAGCCGAAGCCCCCGGCACCCCCGCCAGCACCCCCCATGTGCGAGCCCCCGCCAAAGTGCTGGGGAAACTGAGGCAGGACTTTCTTGCGCTTCCTCTCCACTTCTTCCTTGTCTGCAGGGAGAGAGGGGCAGCAGGGTGAGGGGCAGAGCCGGTGGGAGGAGACATGCTGGCCTGCCCAGGGGATACTCACCTTCCACCACTGGGTAGTAGGTGAACTGCTTGGAGTCGCTCACGTCTCCTCCCCGTTTTCGCTTCAGCTGCAGGAACACTGTGACAGGACGGTCGATCTTGGGCTTGTGGTAGGGCGGCGTGCGGAAGACGATGGCATACTGTGGGCAGGACACATGGATATGAGGTCCTGCTCGTCCCTGGAGCTGGGGACAGGGCACCCTTACCCCACAGGGCACCTGTCTACCTTGGAGCACAGCAGGACACTCCCTGTCTCCCCTGTACCTGTTTGTGCACATCTGTGGGGGAAAAGTCCCCAAAAGCCTGCCAGCCATTCTCGTCATCCTCGTAGAAACGCACCTCGATGTCATCTGGGGAGAGAAGGGCGCTTGCACCGCCTGTCTCCTTGCCCCAGCCAGGCTCCAGGGACACAGACCCCTGGCCACCCAGGGGCCCCAGATCTCTCCTGCCACAGCCCCTCCAGAAGGTTTCGGCTGGAGGGAATGGCTTTTACCTTTCTGAACTTTATCACACAGCAAATAGACTTCATCCCCTCCCCGTACAGAGCCTGCTGTCTTATCCATTCGTGAGATCTTCAAGTTGGAAGCTCCTGGGGACTCTGCAGAGCAAGAGGAGTTTAGAGCCACTGTGCAGACAGCGCATCCCTTACCTTCTTACCCCACCCTGCCCCATACCCTCCCCGGGCTGGCCCCATGCTCACTGCTGTCGTGGATGGGGTCCGAGATGACAGGTTGCAGGGCCAGTGTGAAGTTCCCGCTGCTGTCACGGAGGTAGGCAGTGAAGCGCAACCGCACGATGCTCAGGTCCATCACCTTCTTCAGCTCCTTCGCTTCCAGCTCAATCTCACGCAGCTCCGCTTCTGCCAGGGCAGGGGGAGATACCATCAGGATAGGTGGGGGATGGTCCCCCCACCCACACACTCCAGCCCCATGCTAGCCCCAGCCCCCCAGCTGTCACCCCACGGGGTTGAGTTCCGCTGAGTCCCCAGGCTGCCCTCACCCGTCAGCAGATGGCTCCTGTTGCGCATCTTCTGCTGCTTCAGCTTTTCCTTCATGATCTCCATCATATTCTTCTTGGTGACATGGAGCACACCCAGGTTGCTAAACCTGGAGAAGAGGGAACCCCTTGGGAACTGGGAGTGTCAGGGCTGGGAGCAGACAGCCCAAAAGGATAGTCTCCTGCAGCGGGGAAGGAGCTGAGCAAAGCACAGAGCAGTGCCACTCAGGTAGCAGTGAGACCAACATGTGTGGGGCAAAAGAGGAGCAACCACAGAGGAGAGGAAAGGAGGAAACTCTGGGCTTCACAGGTGACAAGTCCAAAGGGCTGTCAAAGACAAGACCAGGAGGACTGAAATCCAGAGGGATAGAAACCGGACCAAGCTGAGTCAGGGCTGGACATATAAGAGCAACTGCAGCAGTTGCTGAATAACCCCACGATTTGGGCTGGCTTCAAAAGTCATCTGCAAAGCTGGGGAGCTGCAACACCAAGGACAGAAGCCCATAATAAGGTGCATGTGCCAAAACCCAGATCTAGGCAAATTGCTCAGGGAACAGAGCTGTAAAAATGAACTTGTCTCTAAACACACTCCTGGCTCCATCCGGAAAACCTAGCTCCAGCGTGCACTAACCCCCACCCTGTCCCATCTTGTAAGCTGCAGGCAGCACACACAGCCACAAAGGCAAGAGGTCACCCTGGCTCCCCTCACACATACTGAGCTGTCATGTCCTTGGGTCCCACAATCGTGACACAGTTGCCAGCCTCGTTGCACTGCTTGCCCACCAGGCTGTGGGCATGTACACGGGGAGGGTCACTGTGCGTCACCAGGTCTACCTCGATCCGGGCCATCCCTGTGTAGTTGCAGATCTGCAGGGAGAAAGGAGATGGGAGTCAGGTACAATATACCAGGAGTTTGCAGGACTCTCCACAAATGCATGCTACCCCTCCCCATGGCCACCACCCCTCCTGCCACAGCCCTCTCATCCCTCCAGTGCTGTGAGACACGCGGAGCTGATCATAAATTTCCTGTCCTTCCTTCAAGTCTCTCTCCTGGTGCCTGTGCACTGCTGGCTGAAGATGCTGCTCCATCCCCTCCCCAAGGCAGTGCTCACCTTGACTGTGGGATAGGTCTTGCGCCCCTTCTCACTGGATGCTCCTGGCAGCCCCCCATGTGAAGGGCCCTCACAGCCGTAACGAAAGCGGAAACCCCGCTGCGGAGGCAAAGAGAGGGTCAGCCAAGGGGGCCAAAACTTGATGCCATGAGAGCAGGGGGGACAGTTACACCCTGGGTGACATCCTTACCTGTTTTGGCTGCTCGATAATGACGAGGTAAGGACCTTCTACTGGAGAACAGAAAGGAGATGTTCTGATGAGAAACATGGGATAACCAAAGTGCGTGTTCCCAGTAAGGATGCTGGAGGTATGGGGACAGTACTGAAAGTGAGGTGACCCCAGTCTGTCCCATGAGGTTACTGAGGGCCCCCAGCCCCTGTGCTGTCATAGCACAGCTGGGAATAGCAGTCAGAGCAACAGGGAGAGGAGGGGAGGACCAGAGGATGCCCTGTCACATGGGGAGCAGGGACCACAGGGAGGTCACAGCCTAAGCTGGTAGTCCCTGGTAGACTGAGCAGCGGGGCCCATCCTGGTGGCATGGGACAGGGATTCCCAGCCAGCTCACAATGGGGCCAGTAAGGATACAGCCTGTGGTGCTGCTGGGAACTAAGAGGTGTGAGTCAGCCTGCTGGGAAAACCCACTGCAGCTGGGGACCCCTGGAAGGGCACAGCTAGAGGGGCCCTTACCCGTCTCAATCAGGGGCTCCTTCTGCTCCATCATGTGGGAGCCAAAACTGAAGTCATCGTAGTCAATCCCATCCAGGCACTGGGTGATGTGAGGGAAGATGAGTGTGATGAGTGTGTTGGGGCTGGAATCCCCAACTGCTCTGGAGGCTTGGCACAGATCCCCATCTCCCACCCTGGGCAGGTGATGGCAGTCTGGCACAGACCCCCATCAGGGCAGGAACATATTCCCTGTCCCTCCCTGGGAAGAGGGGTGGGCAGGAGCAGACCGCTCATTGCTCATCCCTAGGGGCACCAGCAGATCCCCTTTACCCACCCTGGAGGCTGACACAGACCTCCCATCTCCTGCCCCAGAGGCAGGCACAGATCCTTCCACCTCCCACCCCAGAGGCAGACACAGATCCCCACCTCCCACCCCACCCGTGGGGTCGGGCACTGCTCCCTGCCCAGCTACGGGACCGGGACCAGGCAGCGACACCCGCCCTGGGCCGACCCGAACCGATCCGTGCCGCACTCACGGGCTGGAACTGCTCGTCCATGTCGGCGCGGGGCCGGCCGCCGGCCTGCGGGGAGAGGGGGGTTGAGCGGGGACTGGGAGTGCAGGAAGGCACCGCCGCTCCGGAAAGTCCCTAGAAACCCCGCCGAGCCGGGAAATGACGGGACCGCGCGTCAGCGCCCCGCCCCGCCGCGGCCGGGACACGGGCACGGGGCACGGGGCCCGGGCATGGGGCACGGGGCAGGGGACGCGGCTCGGCCGGGGCACAGCTCCGCACGGCCCCGCACGGCTCTGCACGGCTCGGAGCGCCGCCGCTCCTGCGCCCGCCGGCGGCCGCCCGGGGCGCTGGGACGAGCCGTCCCCTCGCTGCCTGGGGATTTTGGACTCGGAGCCCCGGCGGGCTGGAAATCCCGGAGCACGCCCGCCCGCCTCCCCCGGGCGCTCCTTAGCAGCCCCAGAGCGCCACATGTCCCGAGTTTTCCCCCCGGGAGCACGGAGGGATTTGCCCCTGCCGTCCCCGGCCGCCTGCCCCGCTGCAGGCACCGATCCCCGCCTCGCAGCCATCGGCCCTTCCCCAGCAAGACTTGCAACACGGCTGACACCACTCGTCCACGCCACAAAGCCTGGCAACAGCTCCTGGGTCCCGCAAGGTCCCAACCCACAACATCCCACCCCGATGATGTGCCTTCAGCACAGGGATTTCTTCTCCAAGCCCCTCTAGACTCAAATAGGAGCAGTCATCTCAAAGTGCTGCCCCCAAGCTTGCTGGTCCCCCGCTGGCCAGGGGAAGCTCTCCAGACCTCTGCAGACTGAAGGCAGCACATGGCAGCCCCTTTCCAGGCACTCAAAGGGGTGCTTTCCCGCTCCCTTAGTTTCCACTTACACGGCAGCTCCTGCATCTGTCCCACGGAGGTGGCCTGTGAGAGGCATTCACTATCCGTGTTCCCATTCCCTCCTTCCCACTTGAGAACATCTGGCTTCAAAGTGGAAGCGGCAGCCCCAGAGCTCCCTGCGGGAGCATATCCCACCGCCCCAGCACTCAGCACTGCATGCTCCCCACCGACCCCAGCAAGGCACTGCCAGCAGCAGGGGCCCTTCCTTGCCGCCCACGACGCTCGCACCCTCCTCCTACTCACCGGGGAGGAAGAAGCTGGTCTCAACAACCCGTCCAGCCCCAGCATCGCCACAGGGACTGCCAGTACCGCAGGCAGGGGTTCCACTGGGGTCAAGGCCTGCCTGACCGCGGAAAACCACCGGTGACTTCTAGCAAAGGGGCAGGATCAGAGCAGAGCCTCTGAGCACGCTCTCTTGCTCCACATTTCTTCTCACTAACCAATGAAAAGAAGAAAAAAAGCAAAAAAGCCCCTGTATCTGACTCCACGGTGCCCTCATACCATGAATTTCTGAATCAGTGGTTGCTGCAGGTCCCACTCAGGGGATTTTGGGTGTGTGGGAGAAGAGGGGAAGGAAGGGGATTGTTCAACTTGTGCGTGACTCATATTCTTCAGAAGCTGAACAGAATCTTTTCAAGGAGGTTTTTCAGCCACTCAGGTCCTCCAAAGGGGCTGTCCTGTGACCCCAGGCCTGAGGTTTCCCCTAGCTGGCCTGCCATCTGAGCCCTGGTGAGCTCCAGCAGCCCCTGCCCTGCCAGCCTGTGGGATGCATCCCAGACAGAAGTGCAGCCTGGGACATGGAGTCTGAGGACCTGCAGGTGCAGCAGAGGGTGCAAGGAGGGAGAAGGTAGAGATCCAGCACTGCAAAATGAGGTGGGACCTTCCTCCTGCCATTCTGCAGGGGCTTCAAAAGGCCTAGGAACATGGACACAACCCCCCACTGGCCTGTGGGAAGCAGCACACCCTCCCTACTGTTGGGATCCCACCCATCATACCGCCTGCCACCACCAGCCAGCCACCTCATCTGCTGGCACAGATTTTACAGAGAGGTGAAGAAAGGGACAAGCATCCTTCCTCAGTGTGCTGGGAACAGCCACCCCGAACCCCACCTGCTGAGCCCAGCTGGGGGAGCCCAGGCCTGAATATGCTGGATAAGAACAAATTGTGCCCTTTGGATAGCACAGCTCCCCTGCTGCGGTGCAATCAGCCCCATTCCTTCTTGAGGGGTTTTAACAGTGCACTCATTGCTGCCCAGGATACTTCCACTTGTTGCAGCAAACAGCATGACTGGGATGTCATGGAGTCATGCCTGCATCTCCCCAGCCTGCACAAGTCTGGCTCTCTTGGGAGGTTGCTGGCCATATCCCTGCACAGTGTGTGCTGGAGGAAGCCTACCTGGCTTGCCAAGCAGAGAAAGTGTCATCGCCTCCTTCCTTGTTCCTGGAAAAGCAACCTCAGACCTATCCTCAAGGTAAATCCTGCCTCCTGCACCAAGCAGCTATGCCCTTTTGGCCCTCAGGACTCAGGGGTTTCCCCTAGGAATGTAACACACCCAGCTTTTATCCCCCACACATCCTACAAGGGAACTCATCTCTCCTTCCTCCATCAGTAGCATCCTCCGCTCTGTGTTACCCAGCACATCTGAGCTGGACTGTGGGCTTGAACAGCAGCCCCCGTTTGCTTGGCTAATTCCTCCCCATCTTCACACCTTCCTAGGGCTCAGGAAGGATTCTCTGGGCATTGCTGAGAATGGGGGAAAAGAGCAGCAACCCAGCTGCAAGGCACTGCCCAGCACTGCGAGGCACAGCACCAGTTCCTGGCCCCAGAGCACAGCAGTGCCACGGCACCCTTGCCAGATGGCACAGCCTCCCTTGTGCCAGCCAGACTGCTTCAATTAAGGGCCAGCCGCTGGCAAGCAGCGCGAGTTAAAGCCATTCTTCCATGCCTGCAGCTCCTTGAACGTGACCTAGTAACGCAGGTGCTATTTTCTTTCCTCCCATGACAGTCGGCTGACTCGCAGAGCTGATGCCCCGCAGGCAGGAGGGAAATATACGTCAGTCTATCTGAGGCGGGAGCGTTTAGTAGCCATGGGAAGGAGCGCTCCAGAAATGCAGGAGGCAGCACGAGCACAGCCCTGCTCCGAACCGCCCTAGTGTACAGCTGACATGTTCCAGCCACCCAGCTGGCTGCTGCTCTAACATACGATTCCCTGTGCATTTTGTTTCCCTTGGGGTCTGCTAATGCCTGAATAAGATGGCCCTAAATACCTGGTCTTGCTTTCTGCACAAATCCTGTACTCTGCTCCATCCCAAGAGTCCCAACAGCTACTGGCAAGGGTCTGGCAGGAGGCTGCTGAGTCTCTCCTAGTGTTTACAAGGACTTTGCTCTGAGAGCCTTCCTGGAAATGAAGTCCTTCATGTGCAAGCACGACAGAGAGAAATCCCCTCTCCCTGAAAGCTGTTCAAGCCTTCCCCTCCTGACAGCCTGCCTTAGAGCGCTGAAGCCATTTGTATCTCTCTGCATAAAAAGCCTTTACTCTCTTTGTGGCTATCAAGTTGGTTTTGGCAAACCCCAGCCACCCACTGATCTTCTGGTTTTCTCCTCTAGGGCCTGTAAATCAGCTCCTTTGCTGTTGTGTTATGAACCATAGCTCCACTTGTACATCCGTGTGCCCTCAGAGAACACCTCTCAGTGACAACCCAGCGTTTGCCATCTCTCACTCTCTCTGGTTTCCACTCTACCCACAATACCACTACCGTGTTGGCATTCACGTCTCCATTTGGGGTACAGCTTGCTGAGCCTGCGGGCATGGATCTCTTCCCGTCGGAGCAGGCAGGAAGCCAGCCCTGCTCCAGCGCAAGCAGGGCTCAACGTGCAAGACAGAGAGCAGTGGGACAGGGCAGAACCCACTGGTAACACAGAAACAGGGAAATAAGCAACTTCCCCACCGCCAGGGAAACGGGTGTAAGCGCCAGCGCTGGGACCTGCTGCCTCCTCCCCACTCCAAGAGAGCAGCTGTCTCTCCATCCTGAATCTTCCCAACTTCCCCTACCCCAGCGAGCCCTGTGGTCGCTCCAGAGGCAGCGGCTGGATCCCAGAAGTGGTCGAGGGCCGTTCCGCAAGGATAGGCAGCCCTGGCAAGGGAACTTTAAACCTCTGGACCGCTGAGTTCCCTTTCCCTGGGAACCCTTCTCCCGCTGGAGCAGGCAGCCCGGGCGCATCCCCCCGGCACCCCAGGATACCCCGACCCCGGCCCGGCCGCTTACCTTCATCCCAGCACCAGCCCCAGCCCAGCCGTCGCGCCCCGGCCGCGGTACCGGGAAAGTCCCGTCCTGACTCCGCCTCCCGGGGCTTCCCGGGCCCGGCTCCGCCCGGCGGGACAGTAACAGGGAGGGCCGGGGGACCCCCGAGGGGACGGGCAGCTCCGGGCTGCTGCATCCCGGCGAAGCCGCCTGTCCCCCACTCGGGTCAGGGCACCGAGCCCCCGGCTCACGGCTGTCCTGAGACCCGCAGGGCCACTCACCCCGTTCCCAAAGCCAGCTGCTACCCCGGCGGGGAAGGACCATCTGCCTCACCCATGGCTGATTTTCACTTTTATTATTGTAAATTCACTGTTGTCTTTATATATATTTTTTAAAAAATATATTAGATATAAAAGTCAGAAACGCTCCTCTTTGAACTACATATACTGGTGGATTTACAGGCCGGTTTGGAAAGGTGGGCAAATAGGCAAGCCCAACCTGATCAATGCGCACAGCAGCAGCAGCAAATGCCCCTCTCCAGGGACAAGGGAAAATTTATATATATATATGGATGTATATATATATATCTATATTTGTAGATCTATACACACACACACACACAGAGCACTCATACCACACAACACCCACCCCCCTGCCCAGGACACCCCGGGCTGCAGCTCAGCCTAAGGATGAGAGACTGAGCAGGATGGGCTCCCACCAGGCAGGTGCTGGCCAAGGCACCAGCGGACGGATTTGGGAGTCCCAGCAGAACAGGGCATGCGCTTACCTGTTCCTACAGAAGTGCCTCCCCTTTCTGTGCCTGTGCTCCCTGGGTGGGAGGGCTGGTGGCCATCCACCCTGGACTGGGATGCTCCCCCATTGGACAGCTGCGGTTGGCAGCGGTACAGAGGGGAAATCCACTGCTCTGCAGGCACAGTGCCTGCAAGACATCCTTGATATGACGGTAAATTCAGAGACTCACTTCCCAAATTAGCTGGGAGCACGGGAATGGCATGGCCCAGCAGGTGAAACCTGCCTCAGCAATTCTCAAAGCTGAAAAAAATGACAGGAAAGTCATCAACTGAAGGCAAGTAAGGCCCTGAGCAGCAAGAGCTCAAGAGCCCAGCAGAGTCCAGCCAGGGCTGCTGGTGTCACCCTGTAGCGGTGTGAGGCACTGCCTCTACCCAGGAAGGCAGACAGGGAGAGATCCCCTGCTGCCATCCTCACTGGGGGTGCAGTGCAGACAGACCGGCACTGCTGTAACTTCCTAAGGAAGGGAAAAGGCACTCTGGGTTTTTGGCTCCTCTGACAGTCATACTTGGCAGGCTTGTTTTGCTGAACCTTACCCCTGTGGAGGAGGGAAGAAGAGAGAGATGCCCCTCTCCCAGCATACCAGGCTTGTGTGGTGAGGGAAGAGTGAGTCCCCTGTTCCTGCACAACACTTACAGAAGGGGGCCTCTGTGTGACAGCCTGCAGCAGCCCCTGACTCAGACAAGGCTACCCCAGAGGCTCTGGGGCAGATCCTGGCTCTGTTGATAGCATCAGATTGGCATCCCTGCACCCCAACAGTGACCCCAAATCCTGTGGGCAGGGAGGGAGCAGCTCCTGCAGGGCACCAGCTGCCAGAGGAGTCCTGGACACAGCTCCTGCCAAGAGTGGAGGGCACCACATGCACACATGTGCACACACACACACATACACACAAGCACCCCAAGGCAGCTGGGGTCTCAGAGACATTCAAGGTGGGGAGTTATTGTCAGAACCCAATTTGGGAGTCTCCACTGTGAGCTGCCTCCTGTGGGGGTCAGGCCATAGCCAAGCCCTCCACGTGGCTGTGGATGTGGGCTGTGCTGGACATGCTGCTCTCGTCTTTGTAACTTTTGGGAGCCCGGCTGGCTTTCAGAAGGACCAGGAAGGTGTCTGTGGAGATGGCCCCAAACTCAAAGGTGAATGTGCCGTAGAAGACCAGGACATCGATGATGAACATCCACTCGCACAGGGCAGCCACGTGCTGCAGCACAAAGCTCTCCTGGATGAAGAACACGCCGCCTGAGGGTATCCCAGTCAAGGACAGCACAGCTGGGCACCAACCACCTCATGGAGGACCATGTCCCACTGCCACCACATACCAGGGTGGCTGTGAATACCCTCCCTTGCAGGAAACGCACTGCCACTCCTGAAACCCGGAAACCCCACATGCTTTTCCCAGCACCACCAGGGCCCTAGCACAGGTGAGGCGATGGCACACATGCCCAAACCAGCCTCAGTAAATCATGGGAGTGATGCCAGGCTGGGATTTCCTGAGAAGGCCAGGGCAGGAGGAACTCAGGCTGCAGTTCTCAGTGCAAGTCAGGTATCCAGATGCCTCACCCTTCCCACACCCATTGCCTCTTCCTCAAGCCAGGCTGACACTCCCCATCCTCCTGCAGGATGCCATTAAAAATGATCAGCACTCCACCCCATTGGTAACAGGGTTTGGGCTGCTCATCCCAGCCCTGCAGCACCTCCTGTCCCTCTGTGCTGCAAGGTGGCCCATACCAGGGAAGCGACCTGCTCCTGCTTCTCCATGTCCTACTGCTGCCAGAGTTTCTTTATCCTTCTCTCATCCTCACCAAGGATCTCAAGGGAAATTTACTGCCAGAGCCACCATGGATGAGGGGAAGGCATCACCCAACCCTCCAGGTGAAGCCTCCAGCAGTACGGTGCCTTCTGCCAGTGAGACCAAGATCTGGGAGAGCTGCAGAGGCAGGGACCTGACCTGTGCAGTGTAGAGCCCTCCGCTCACTCCCCACATCCCATCAGGAGAGATCCCAGAGCTTTCCCCCCACTGTCCACACCACAGCTCACTGCTTTCCCACTGCTAGCCCCCAGTGCTTACAGAGCAGGATGGCCACAGCAGATGGGCACCACTCCTGTCTTCCTTGTCCTTACGTGCCCTTCCTGTCCCTCCCAGCTGGCATGGCCCTGCGGCACTCCTACCCTTCCCAGCTCCCTGACTGATTCCCAGCCTGCCTGCCTGCTGCAGTGACAGAGCAAGACCCTCTGATATGTGTCAGGCCTGCCAGCACCCCCCAGGCTCCTCTTTGTGCTGCTCACCTCAGCCAGCCTCTCTGGGACCCACAGACACGGGATGTTTTTTCCCCTTCCTGCCCAATAACCACCACCTTGTTTCCCAATTTATCCCCACCCTCAGTCCCAAACAAGATTCTGGCTCCTTGGTCACACACTCAGGACCATTCTTAGAGCCCCAGTCCACCTGACACCATGCCCTCCCTCCCTGGTATGGTGTTTGCAAACCCCAGTGCCTGCTCACCAAGTCCTCCCTCATCCTCACAGGCAGGTTGGCTTGTGGGTGCCAGAGAGCCCTGGCTGGCAGAGGTGTTGCCATGTGCCCACCCGGCACCTGCACAGAGCACTTCTGTACTCAGTTTTGGTCATGCAGGTAACCCAGATGGACTTTGCTCCACATACCTTTGTCTCATGAAAAAAAACCCATCAATTAACCAGACCTGGCTTGTGTGGGACTGGAGTCTGCAGTGGTGGCTGGGCTGCAGCAGCCAGGGCAGGGCTGGTTTGGGGCATCCCAGCACCCTAAGAGATGCCCACCCACATCCCTTCCCCTCCTCAGCTCTGAGACTGCTGCTTGTCCAGCAGAGAGCTGCCCACCCTCAGTCCCCTGCCCAGCCCCTCTCCTGGCTCAATGCCTCACTGCCAGACAAAAGATGGAGAACACGGGGTGCATAACCCACCATGAGGAGCACCTTTCGCCAGTCCAACCCAAAACTTCTTCCCACACCTTCAGGATACTGAAGACGAGGGTGATGAAGGCCACAGTGGTGAGGATGCTTCGCAAGTGGCCAGTCCAGTACTGCCCTCGGGTTTTGGCCATGCGGTAGGTGAGGATGGACTGCAGGAGCAGGAACAGCATGCTGGTTGGAAAGGCCACCCCTGCCCCAATGTAGTGCAGCACCTTGGCATGGTCCACCTGTGGGGAAGAGACCATCAGTGCCGGCACCCTGGGACACTCCCCGACACAGCACGGCTCTGCTCCAGGGGTTGGGCTCCTGCCCAGACAGGGGTGCAGGCAGTGTCAGAAGCAAGTCCAGGCAGCTCACCCTGTGCCTAACTCCGGGTTGAAGAGCAGATTTGTACCCGGTATCTGCTGCTGGGATCTCAAAGCACTCTGTTTCTTTTATCTGTGCCAGCAGACCTGCTGTGCCCAGGGGCAGGGGCTGCCCTCTGCCCTGAGAGGCATCTGGGGCCACCCACACTGCTCCCCCGAGGGTCACAGCCCAGTGCTGCTGACCCACAGCTGGGGCACCAGGGGGATCAGGGCCAGCAAGCCTCTCCTGTGGCTGGTGCTGGCAGCAGCCTCCTGCCAAGCAGGAGGGACTGGCTGCTGCAGGCAGTGGGCAGGCAGCTGCCGGGAGGCTGGTGCCTGGCAGTGCAGGCAGGGGCTGAGTGCTGTTGTGTGCTGCCAAGCCTGGGCTCACTCTGGTCATTGCCAGCACAGGCTCTGTCCCAACAGTTACCTGGCATCACCCCTGAACAGGAGCATCGGCAGCTTGGCCCAGTCCTCAGCCCAGCTGGCATGTCCCTAGCCCTGCACATGACCATGGAGGGGACACACCATGCAGAGGGTCTCAGGTAAGGGTTAAACCAAACCCAACAGCTTAATCTGGACCTGAACTATGAACACACTAGCAAACAGGACTTCCAGCACTCTGGGAAGCACAGAATTGACCCAGCAAAAGGGAAGGATTACACAGACAGAAACCACCACCAAACCACCCCAAACCCTACCCTGCTGAGCACTGCCACTGCCCCGCTCCAGCCAAGGCCTTCCCCCACCCCCCTGCCCCAGGGACTCCCGAGAAGATGCCTTACCTGGAAGTTGCCAACCATGGTAAGGCCGGCAGCGCAGACCCAGCCAGTGGCCAGCCCCAGGGTGTTGAGCAGGGATGGCCCCAGGCGCTCCAGGAGGTGGGCGTAGCGCAGCAGTCCCACCAGGATGACTGCAGGAGGGAGACACAGCCCCATCACATGCTGCTGCCCACAGCCCCCTGATCCCATTCCTGCCCTGTGCTGGAAGTGT